TTTTATTTTTTTTACAAAGTGTAAAAAAATTTAAAAAAAAGTGTAAAACAAAATTAGGAAAATATAAATTGTATATAAATATAATTTTTTATACTATAATTAATATAAAAAAATTCTAAAAAAAATAATAATAATCAAAACTTGTGAAAAAAGTGTTTTCTTCTAGTTTTTTTCCTAATTTTTTTATTTTATTCAAACTACGTGAGGGGTTAGGTACACATATGTGATATAATTATATAGCCCTATCTGTCCTCTAAAAAACAATATATAATATGTGTGGGTACATTTAGTAAGAAAGTATATTACTGCTGTGGAAGAATCACACAGCAAAAATGTAAAAAATGTGTCAGTCATTTATGAACAGAACCTGAAAACTAGCTCAGTCATGAAGGGGTTAAATTAAACACATTATGAACTTTATGCAACAACGGCAACAATCATCTATTATTGAACTTTTCCCATCCTATGCTTCGAGAAAAGGAATATGACATAAAAAAATCATATTTCGTGTCATTTTCTTACACACATCAAAAACGCGGCCAAAACAAATAGCACCGCGTCTGCAGATCCGCACCTGATCAGGACCTGAAAATCATGTGATCAGGGCCTTAGGAGAACTATGGGTAAAAACACTGACCCCATAGTTCTCCTTTAATAAAAATGTTGCTCAGAGTTCTGCTTTATCTAGTGAGTCTAAAGCTCACCAAACACATTACATTCTGGTTGTGCAATCTACTTTAGATCTAACAACTATGTACTGCAGGGGTCTGTCTGATTGGGTACAAATTGATTGGATAGTTTCGGTAGGTCCTCATATATCACATAGATAAAGCGAACGTTGACTGTGCAAAGATTGTAATATGTATGGTCAGCATGAAACTTTCCTTGCCTGCTGATCTGAGGTATAACAGTAACAATCAGATCAGATAAGGAAAGCTAACCTCTCCGATCCCTATACCCGTAGGTGAGCCTTAGCTGCCAGTGTCTGCAGTCCTATCACAGAGATTAGACTTTCACCAGATCCGGGATCTAATGCCGTAAAGCTGCCACACACCTTACAATTTATCTGCAGATTTTCTGTGGTCAGATGGAAAAGTTGCAACAGATTCCTCCGTCTCCACTTAAATGTATGGATAGATTAATCTGCACCTGGGCCAATCTGTTGCACTTTTTCCATCTGACCACAGGAACTCTGCAGATAAATTGTAAGGTGTGTGGGCACCTTAAGGGCACTTTCACTGTCGCCGATTGCCGGTTCACTCTCAGTGTAACTATAGGGAGTTGACATTTGCTAAATGAAAGCTGCAATTGTTTTGTACGGCATATTAGTTCTTGAATTAAATCTAAATCAGTAACAAAGAAACAAACCAGATACACACCAGTCTGGCCAAGGAGAGAGGAAGCCAGGCTTAGTTGTAAGAACATTTTACAGACATTTTGACTTCAGTAAATAAATTCACATTTAACACTTTCCAAAACTTCTACATAGATAAAGACTATCTATGTAAAAGGGTCTATACCTGCACTGCAAGGGTGCACAAGAGGAAATTGTAAAACAATGTAAAAGGGGCTAGACCTGCACTGCAAGGGTTAACCGTTCGTTTTTCTCCAGGGGCGGGAATAAAGAAGATACACTCACCCGATCTTCAGTCCTGCAGCGGTCAGCGCTCACCTCTCTCCCCCTCTATTCCAGCTGTGGCATTTCCCTTGCACTTGCATTAGACGTGATGATGTCACGGATCCTTAGATTGCCGGAGCCCGGGGAAGAAGAGCCTGCGGTGACTGATCTATTTTGTTATTTTCACCCCCTAGGCCAAAACAAGCAGTTAACCCTTTCAGTGCAGGGGGTAGCCCCGCTGCAAAAGTTAATTTTAAATTCCAATTCGAGGAGAGAGAGAGAGAATATGAATAAATTAGAGAAAGATAGATAGTTACTAAATAAAAAAGAGAAAGAGACTGAATTAGAAACAGCAAGAGAACAAACTCCACTAAGGCCTCATTCACATGTGCGTTGAATATTACTAAATGATGATTACCCATTAACACACTTAAGGTGCCCATACACCTTACGATTATCGTACGATAATCGTATGCGATCGACTTTTCGTACGACAATCGTAACGTGTGAATAGAGTGCCCGACCGATAGTACTGTACAATCGTACGACTTTTGACGGTCAAGCATGTTTGAAAACTTTGGTTGATCGTACGATGTTCGCATGGTTGGTGGCGTTTCCGTCCGTCAAATGTCGTACGATTAACACTGCGCATGCGCAAACGAAAATAATTGCGGTCAATTACCGCAAGTCGTCCAGGTGTTTTTTTCTAACTACCGCTGATTGAACCTTGCGATAATCGGGGCAGGATGGGGCCGTCGTACGAAAATCGTACGACGGTTCGATCATCGGACGAAAAGGTTAGTCCGATAATTGTAAGGTGTATGGGCACCTTAACCAGGAGCATTTAAGGGGCGTTAATGAGCAACACTGACAAACGCCCTCTCTGTTGGTGTTCAATTTGTATCTAAGGGCAAGTGAGGTAAAGGACAGGCACTGGTTCTGGCTGGCATGTTTACTGGCTTTGGTTCTGGCTGGCACTGGCTGTATAGACACGGGTTCTAGTTGGTATTGGCTGCCCAGACACTGGTTCCGGCTGGCAGTACAGGTACTGTTTCTGGCTGGCACTGGCTGTACAGGTACTGCTTCTGGCTGGCACTGGCTGTACAGGTACTGGTTCCGGCTGGCACTGGCTGTACAGGTACTGGTTCTGGCTGGCACCGACTGTACAGGCACTGGTTCTGGCTGGCACTGGTTGTACAAGTTACATAGTTAGTCAGGTTGAAAAAAAGACACATGTCCATCGAGTTCAACCAAGCATTGGTTCTGGCTGGCACTGGTATTGCTTGTACAGGCACTGGTTCTGGTTGACACTGGTACTGGATGGCGCTGGTACAGTACAAAACAGCAAAGAAGTGGCTACCGGAGCTCTTTTTATCCTCTCCTCTCCCAGTGCTTTAGAAGGTATTAGGAACCTCCTCTGCCTCTACCCCAGCACCTAGTCTCTAGTGAAATGTAATCCTGGTACGGAGTTATGATTTTCTTACTGTTAATTATGTAAAGTGTAACATTTTACAGACACATTATTTCATTAGCATAAATATAGAGATTAGACTCAGAGATTTTTGAAGAATCTTCAGATATTTACAATGATATTGATACAATCCGGAATATATGGTTATAACTAAACAATATGTATTGAATTGTGTTGGTGCCGGTACCACTTTTAGCACAAGTAATATCAGTACCAATTAAATGAATGAAGCTTATTGGTCAATCTAGTGTAAGTCACGCATAGAGCAGAGTTCACTGAAAGATTTTGGATTGGTTGCTATTGGTTACTGTACTCTGTTTTAGTAAGTATATAAATGAGGATGATGGATATTAGGCAAAATGTTTAAAGGGACAGTCTGCCCAAAACATATATTTTACTATTGGGCTTGTGGTGGAGGGTTGAACCACTCACTGGCTTGTTATATCACAGACTTTGACTGCTCCGTATACCTCCTGTGGTCATCATGAAGCGGTATGAATCTCTTTTTGTGATGTTAGAAGTAATGCAGCACTTAGGGTGACAACGGATGCATGGGTAACTTGTTTAAGAAGTTAGAAAACCTCCCTGTGCAATGATGAGCAGGTCAACAGATTCCACTGTCCGTCACCTCGACCTAGCAGAGGGCATGCTGGACCTGTGCAGAGAGAACACTGCTTCTTCAACACTGCAGCATGCTGGCAGGAGACAGGCTTTTCTGCTCAGTGTTTGCCGTCTAAGGAAAATGAACTGCATGACTTTGTACACCTCTTGATGCACTTGTAATGTATTCAGCGGATTTCAAATGAAGGATCCGTTGGGCTTTCAATAAGTTTAAAATGAGTGGTACACGTCTCGCTGTCAGAACAGGTCCACTTGAAATATTTTTTTTTAGACTCAGAGTTCTGTGTGCTGCTCAGAAACCTCTTCGCTCTCCAAGAACCTTGGAACAGTTCCACACAAACTTCTTCCCGGCCGACATTTGGCGTCTGCACCTTCGTCACCGCCGGTCAGTTCTGCCTTCTTGCGTTTGCGGGGCTTCATGTTTATACGTATTTTCTGAGCGGCGAAGCTGGGGTCGGCGGCATCCATCATGGCGAGGAAATCGTAGTCTGGGAGCGGAGGACCCCAGTCTTCATTAGATAAGGAATCTGAAAACACAACGATATAACAAATAAATGGGTCTGGAATGTTCAGTCAAAACAGCCGCAGTAAAAGGCTGACAAAGAATCCCAGAAATAACTACCAGCAGACGTTATTCACTATAAGAACTTATATCAGATAACAGGAAGTACGGGTGTGTGATGAACTAACAGCACAACATAATTTGATGAGTCAGTGACCCCGACCTTTAGACCGTGAATCAGAAAGGGAGTCACAATCAAAAGTGATTTCAACTTTACTCTCTAGTGCACTGAAGGGGTTTTCCAAAATGGACTGCAGCAGGACTCCATCCAAACAGCTAAATACTTGGCTGAAATATATACAATTCATCTACCAAAATACAGGCCATTTTCTTCAGTCGCTCTTGTGATTCATGGCACATTACTACTCCTAAAAGGCAAAGGGTAGCACTATTATTATTCATAGCCTACGAGTCAACAACATCCTCTGACACCTATCTACATCCAGCCAGGCAAATTGGACTATAAATGAGCATCATTCACCTGCTGAGGTCCTGTGTACTCTTATGCTGTAACGTTGCCTCAAAAGCTCAGCCTCCAGCCCCTAGGGCTTGCAATAAGTTAGATTGACAGGGCAGGACGAAGCAATAAGGCCTGATTCAATCATAGAGCTTGTACTTCCACTTGCCTGATTTGGTGCACAGGGGATAATGGGAATCGAGATTTCAGACAGGTGTACTAACAGTGTTTAAAAACAAATCGGCAGTCTTCCTTGTTAGCCTTGCCTTAGTATCCTTTTGACAATGGGTATTTCTATGTTACCCTTAGGGGGTTTCCCTCTGTGCCCGTTTCCCCCCCGGACCTTTCTTTCTGAACATTTTCCTCTCTTTTTCCCTCTTTTCTTTACTTTTCGTCTTCTTCTCCTCTCCCTGACTCTTTTTTCACTTGTTCGTCTCTTACATAGCACTTCCCTTAGATCTCGTAGGTTTCTCTTTTCTCACATTGTAATGACCCGTGAGGCTATAACTGGACGCTCAACTGCGGAGTTACTGGTGTAATGACAGGGTTCAGTTTTGATGGGAGGACTCGGCACAGTGAGCTGGGCAAGTCACCGGTACAGTGCCCAGGTCCGGTGTTTTCTCACCCTCAGTCTATCTTCTGGGTGTTACAAAGGAGTTGCGATTACTATTGTTTTTGGTCTCATGTTTCCTTTTTTTATTGTTTCTGTATTTGCATTGTACTTCTGTTTTTTGTGCCTTGTTATCTGTTCATGTATTATAAAATTAATAAACGTATAATATTTTTTGAGAAACACTTCCGGTTATAGGAGCACAGACATGTTCTCAAGCGGCCTGGACATTGTTAAGCATGCGGGGAACATGTTTATGCCTTGACTTTCAAAAAGTTGGTATTTGCATAGGCAATACTGACGGTTGTGTACCAGTTCACAAAAAGGATGCTGCGGCAGAGCATGCAGAGAAGGACAAATAAACTGATAGGAAGTATGGAGATGCTCAGCTATAAGGAAAGATTAAGTGAAGATTATCAGTATACCGCGAGCTATAGCTTGCGATATACTGAGCTTTGGGTCATGGGAGGATGAGGTTAGTATATGTCTTCCCGTGACCCTAAAGAGAACTATGGGGAAAAACACTTACCCCATAGTTCTCTTTTAACGTCTTTATTTCTAACTATGCAATATTACAGGTTGTTTCCACGATGCAGGCAAGTATTACACAGACAAGTTCCATAAATACTTACACACTGGGGCATCCTCTCCAGCCTTCACCATCTCTAGCCAATATAAAATATTAACTTCCGTGATGAGCTGATCTGCCGGGAGTGCGAACACTTGTCCTTGTGTGCCAAAGGTAACCAGGACAAGGACTGGTAGATGTGGGATCACGCCAAAGTATTTCTTCAGGATCTCATATGCCACAGGAGTTTCCTTGCTGCAAAATAAGAAAACAAAACTGACACAGACACTGATATGGACAGTATTTATGTGCTTTAGCTGCATATTTAAAGTGTATGTCTGTGCACAGTATATATATATATATATAGTATATATATAGTATATATATATATATATACATGCATATATATATATATATATATATAGTATATTAAAAATTCCAGTGAGCTCCTGACTTCCTATTTAAGCTGACCACACAGTGCCTCTCCTCGGTGAAATCCAAAGTGGCGTTGTCAGTTTGTCTCTGCTGAACTACAGCATAACAGTGTTTGGCTTTACGTACCTCTGCACACACCCCTCTTTTTATCTGATCGGGGCATAGGTTTTTTTTATAACATAATGTGACATTTGGATGATTATTGGTGGTTATTGGTTGATTTTTCATATCACAGGCTTCCCTAATATTATAAAAGCATTATTAGATTTCCTCCACTGGCTGGCAAAGTGAGGGCCATGGAATGTGTTGTATTTATTATTATAAGGCTTGGTTCCATGGTGTTAAGCTAGCTCTTGCCTGAAAGTGTGACAAGAGTTTGCATGGCAACTGTTTGACCACCACTTCTCACCAGATCGGCCTTCCTACTGGCCAGCAAATGTGAAGAGCGGTGTCACTGGCCAAGAGGAACACAAGGTGGGGGGAAGTCATGGCGACCATGCCAGCTCTGGTCACAATTCCCATTACAGATCTCCCTGGGTGTTTCGGGTTCCAAAGATCAAAATGCCTAGGCAGGCAACTGGCTACTGAACACCAGCAAACCACAAGCATTAAACACTTATTGACACCAAATGCTGCCACTGTACATTTACTAGGTGGCATTAGGGGTTGGATAGTTGCTTGAGGTGCACGTTAGGGGTGGTGTGTACACTGCCCAGAATGTCCCGCCCAGCTCAAGGCAACCAGTGACGTCAATGGTTGCCAAGAGCTGGGCGGGATGCCGGCCAGCGTGTCCAAGGTTGCTAAGAGCTGTTAGCTCTTAGCAACCTGGGATGCTCTGGCCGGAAAGGGGGCAGCAGACACAATGCATGCCTTGTGCAGCATTGCGGCCATGCCTCATTTTAAGGACGGCTCTGAGTATTCGGTAAAAACAAAGCAGTTAGGAGTAGCCAGGTAAATGTAAAAAGGAGCCTACAACTCCACCTTTTGGATGGAATTAAATACTCCATATGCAATATTTCTGATTTTATTGATAAAAAATAATGATGTATTATGACAAAGTGTCAGGAACTGGATCTGAATCCAGGGCCTCTGCTGTGGCTGGCAGTGGTTCTACCCGTTGAGCCACCTTAGAACCATGGATAGCTCCTGTGTAATCCTCAGTTAAACCTAGTGTCTGCTGAACTCTGAACTTCTTGCTCCTCCCCTGAACTTCTTATTTAAGCCACGCCTCTGCACTTCCTGTTTGCCAGATTATTGTGCTCCTGCCAATATCTTGCTTCCTGTTCCCTCTGTGATACAATCTGCTCATACTGCTACCCGGGTACCGACCTTTGGCTGCTGATTCACCGACTACTCTCATCGTCTTCGTACCTGATACCTTTGGCTCCAGACCTAGGCTTGTTCGATGACTACGCTTCTGCCTGCTCCTCCACTACTACCGTCTGCTTGTGTACCGAACCCGGCCTGTTATACACCGAATTGCCTGCTGCTTCAGCTACTGGACTCCGAGCCTGATCCCAGATTGTAACACAATGTGAAGTCTAATGACAAATATGTGCAATAGTACTCTACATTCTTTTCACACCATTCAGCTAAGTGCTGAGCATGGAAAAGTGACCATTCATTTAAGATAGATACAAAGTAATGGAAACATTCTCATGTTCATTCCTTAATGTCAACACTGTACATTAATGGGCACGTTGCCTGATGGGTACTTACAGATTCAACCAACAAGCCAAATACGACTCTAAGTATTTCCCCCGCACCAGGCCCAGAATGTGTTTCTCATGGCCGTGATTGAGAGGGCCGTCTGAGAAGAGGATAAGAAGGGCCCGCTGGCTCTGGAGAAGGGAGGGCAAGGTCTCCACTCTGACCTCTGGCTGCGGGATAAAGATAGAAAGCAGATTTACTATCGCCAGACCTGGAAGCGGTTTGGCATCATTGAAGATTGAAAGTTTGTTTGGACTGAACCTCTAGACAAAATAAATTAAGATAACCACGGGATGTTTTACGTACAAGAAGCTGTAAAAACAATACGAAAACTAATAAGCAATTCTATACTGTTTGGAAAAGGTTTTTCTTTTTTTGTTACAGCTTCCATTAAACAAATTTAGCATCATATACAAGCCATGTCGTTTTATAGTCCTTTTAAATTTTTATTTCTCAAAATATATTTTGGAATGTGATCAATTTACAAAGCAATTCCAGGCAATCAGTGAGCTATTGAGCTATGCTGAAGATAGGAAGTCTCACTTAACTTACCTTAACTTGAGCCCTCAATAATCCAACGCAGCCACAATCAAGAGAGGACCTCACAGGGTTACAGGCTATACACGGTGTGATGAACCAGCCAAAATTCGGACAATGGATACCCCTGTCGGCACACTTTGAAGAAGCAGTTTGGAGCATGCTCAGAAAAATCTGTTATATTTTCATTGTTCAGCTTAATGGTTCATAATGTAACCCGTATAGCCAGCTTTAGGATACTTCATTACTGGGTGGCAAAAGAAAGGTATACAGTCATGGCCCAGAATATTGGCACCCTTGCATTTCTGTCAGATAATGGACTGCTTTGTGCAGAAAATTGTTGCAATTACAAATGTTTCAGCAATCTCATATTTCATTATTTTGTTTGTATTGGTATGACACAAAAAAGTAAAGAAAAAAAAGCCAAATCTGACGCATTCCACACAAAACTCCAAAAATGGACTGGAAAAAATTATTGGCACCCTCAATTAAAATTTGGTAGCACAGCCCTTGGAAAAAATAACTGAAATCAATGGCTTCCTGTAGCCATCAATTAGTTTCGTACACCTCTCTACAGGAATTTTGAGCAGTCTTCTTTCACCAACTGCTCCAAGTCTCTCAGATTGGAAGGGTTCCTTTTCCCAAATGCTGCTTTGAGATCTCTCCACAGGAGCTCTATGGGACTCAGATCTGGACTCATTGTTGGCCAGTCCAGTACTCTCCAGCGCTTTGTCTGAAACCATTTCTGGGAGCTTTATGACGTGTGTTTTGGGTCATTGTCCTGCTGTAAGACTCATGACCTCTGACGCAGACCCAACTTTCTGATACTGGGCCCTATATTTGCACCCCGGAATTCTTTTGTAGTCTTCAGATTTCATAATGCCATGCACACAGTCAAGACATCCAGTGCCTGAAGCAGCAAAGCAACCCCAAAATATCAGTGACACTCCACCATGTGTGACTGTAGGGACTGGATTGTTTTTAAAGGCCTCATTTCTTTTTCTGAAGATCTCTACTGCGCATGCGCCCGCCCTATGATCCTTCACGGCCACTCGAGAATCTTCAGCTGTTCAGACGGGAGCGAGCGGCAGAGACACAGGTAAGTTTTTACCTATTTGGTGATTTATTTATTTTTGAAACATGTTTTTTTCATATACCTAATGCTTGCTAGCAGTAGATACCCTGTTTCCCCGAAAATAAGACCTAGTACTATTTTTGGGAATTCCTAAAATATAAGACCTACCCCGAAAATAAGACCTAGTTGTGACCATTGCCAGGGCTGGTGGTGGCATAAGGGGGATCCTGAAGAGCCGCGGGAGAGAATCAGCGCTGCCAATGAAGCCAGCACTAGAGGAAGCGAGGCGGCAGCACAGGGACCAGAGCCGCATAAGCTGATGTTTCCTCTATAGCGCCGACTCCTGCCACAGGCGAAGTGATACCAAATGCATGCCGCCTGTGAGGAATCTATAGTGAAAGTGCGCTTTGCTTTTTCTGGTTACCAAATTGCTCTTGGAAAGGTACGGCACCCCTGATTGCCCTAATCACCCAATTGTTAACTTTGGCATTTTGGATTATTTAATTTGGATTTGCATTAACTTTGGATTGTTATACATTAAAAAAAATAAATAAATAAGACCTACCCCGAAAATAAGACCTAGTGTGTTTTTTTGAGCCAAAAAACATATAAGACAGTGTCTTATTTTCGGGGAAACAGGGTACATGCAACAACAACAAAAAACGAAGGTTTAATTATACTTTAATGCCAGACAGAAAATGCAGCATAAGCTGGTCTGCCTTGTGATAGATCTGCTAAAAAATAATGGTAATTATGTCAGAGAGAGATAGGCTCTTGAGGATTAGCAAACCACAATTATCTGTTGCAATGAAACAATTGGCTATATTCTGCCTGTTAAGTGCAGCAGGAATAATGTTTCCTCTCTACATATCTCTACACGCCGTCTAGGCATTTGTCTTATTTTAAATTGCCCCATCATTAGTGAGGCAACCAATTTACCTCTCGCAGCAGGTAAATAAATGACCATATAAGTAGCAGATATCTTCCTGAAGAGGATGATTATGGAAAGAGATCAATGTTGGGGGAGTCAGCATTAAAGTTTAATTTTAACATAAAGTTTCTGAATACATTAAAGACCAACTTTAAAGTGACACTAAACCTCAGGACTAAAACCTTAAAAATGCATCCAGCACCAATACAGAGATGATTGGAGGATCTACAGCCGAGTGATACACAAATAAGATACATTGTTGTTAATAGTTAAAGGAAAACTATGGGGTCAGGGCTTTTCCCCATAGTTCTCCTAAGGGTCACGGGAGAACACCAACTAGCATTCTCCCGTGACCCAAAGCTCAGTATACCGCGAGCTACAACTCGCGGTATAATGAGATGCCGCAGTAGGGACGGATCCTGACAATACTGTCTGGATCCACCCAGCTGCGTGATTGACAGCTGGCTCTGCCTATCCAGAGGCAGAGCCAGCTGTACCCGCCCACTCTCCTGTACGTTCCGCCAGTCAGCGCTGGAGGATCAGAGTGGGGAGGGAGGAATCCCTGCAGGGAGCCGTGAGTGACCGTCACGGCTCTCTGCAGTGATAAATCGAGAAGTGAGCGAGCGATGGTATGTATTCGCTCACTTCCCGATCTACTAAGCCGACCTGTGACAGTTTAATTGTCACAGCTCGGCTCAGATTATGAGGCTGAGTGAAAATCACTCGCCTCATAATTCTCCTTTAAGGTACTTGAATGTATTTTTGAGATTTAACTCCTGAGTTTAGTGTCACTTTAATTATGAATTTGGTCATATTTATAAATAGATTTGCTAACTCCTTTTCTCCATTATTTATGCACTTGCTCTTGAAGTATGCACTGTTTTCATTATCTTTGAGTGTAGCCATAAAACTGCCTTTAAAATGCAGGTAAAGTGTATCTAAACCCCCCAAAAATGTAATATATTGCAGCTTATCAGTCCTTACTTAGCTTTTTATCATTTATGTCCACCTGGTGATCCTGCCAGTAACACACTTCCTGTCCCAGGGTGACAACGCTCACTCACTCACCGACCTCTCCATCTTTGTATCAAAATGCCAACTGGTGAACCATGTCAGGTATGCTGCTGTAAACATTTTTTTGTGTTTTTAAAAGTGATTTTAACTTTCAATAAATCTACTACATGAGGTATCTCCTCTTTTTTTTAATCACATCTTGGATCGACCACAATTGTGTAAATTAAGTTCCGCCTGAACAGGTTTGTATACAGGCTGTTATGTTTGTAGAGAGAAACCAAAACCAACAGAGGCCTGGGAGTGTGGAGCCATTCTATGTTCAAAGCCAAGGAAGCTGTCGTGACTGCCAGGTCACCTCCCCATCCCCAGGCTGATGTTCTTTCTAAGTGCTTTTGGTGAGTGCAATAAGCAATGAGCTGACATTAAATGTTATTAGAAGTACAATATGGCACGGCTGTGTTTTAAATAGGATTAGTAGCTGTAAGAAACTTCTTAATACTGACAATTGTGTTTAAGCTTTCTGTATGTGAACGGTAGCAGGAAGCCTACAGAGGGTGTGTTTGGGAACTTCTCTGCAGCATCACAAGCAGGGGTTCTAAGATTACTGACAAAAGGGAGAGAGTTGGAATGGTACAGCAATGTCTGGATATATAACTAAAATACAGAGCAGGAATGGGAAAGTGACAGAGTCCCTATCTAACCCACCCTCGACCCGCTTACACTTAACTTTCACCCGCTCCCCCAGCTCCGTTCCTCTGTAATCCTAAACCTGTGTGCACCCTGTGTAAAACCATCCACTATGTTGGTTGGTTTTAGAGCTTACATAGGGTTGATAACATCCTCCTTCTCTTCATGTGACAGCGTTCAGGCCTGGCAATTGGTCACTCCAGCTTAACCACTATATTATGGGTGGTAACATGCTCCCTTATAACAAGAACCACCAGGTTTTTGTGATGGCTCCAACCAATCAGCTGGGAAGCAATGTGACAGTGAAAATATATGGGTTGGAGGGTATGCTAGTAAGAGACTATAAATAGTAGGGATGCACCGATACCAATACTAGCATCGGTGCCGATGCAGAGTATTTGGGCGAGTACTCGTACTCGCCCAAATGCTCCTATGCCTGAGCTTCCAGTATCAGGAAGCCGGGCAACGAGTCATTACATGCTGCCCGGCTTCCTGTTTAGACGGGCAGCTGCGTCCATGCTCCCTCGTCACTTGGTGTAATGCCTCCGTGTAATGACTCGCCGCCTAGCTTCCTGATTGGTCGGGAAGTCGGCCAATCAGGAAGCCGAACATCGAGTCAATTCCCCGTCCCCGGCTTTTTGATTGGCCAGAAAGATGGCTTCATGCTCTCTCGTCACCTGGCGAGTCATTACACGCCACCTGGCTTCCTTAAATGGGACTTCCGGTATCAGTGAGTGCCAAAAAAATATATATCGGTACTCAATACCGAAAAACCGGTATCGGTGCATCCCTAATATATAGGCTTGGTATGCTCTTTAAACATAACTTGTTCATTCCCTAAACAAATGCAAAAAAACACACCTGGGCATTACAAGTTTACTCACCTCTCTGGGGAACCGAGCCTCCAACCTTCTCTCCATTCCACCGATGCAGCCTACTCTTTGGCATGCAAGCCTTCCATGAGCGTCAGATGACAGTCTCTCCAATGGCACTATTGTTTCTTCCTCTGACCTCTACATCATTTCTGTGTAAATTAGTAACTTAGGGTTCGGAGAGTGGAACCACAGCAAGCATTGGGGTATATAGGCATCCAATACTTTTAGAAGAGCTGCATGCTAAAGAGTTTGATGAAGGCCAAGACACACAGGCTGACAGAGAGGTGAGTTTAATAGTTTCTTTCTGATGTGGCAGTGCTGATTGCATTTGTTTAGGGACCTAATGGGATCCATTTAAGACACTTTTTCTCAACTAAGGTTCCTCCAAAAGTTGCTAGTGGTTCCTTGGACAATTTCTGCCTCTCGGATAAGTAACCAGTGGCGTAACAATCTTCATAGCTAACTGTAGGGGGGCATTCACCTATATGACCTGTACTATACCAATGTAAGGGCCATGCTTTCCACTGACCACCATGCTAAAGTACCATGAGCAGTAGATATAGTTCTTAGCTGGGGTTATTAGCTAAAATTATTTAAGGGTGTGCTAAAATGGTGGCGAAAGGCTGCTTTAAAGTCTTCAAATTGAAGCCTCTCTGATCCTAATCATACAAAATATCATTGGTCAAGTATCAGAGATGAAACCTATTCAGTCAGTTAGATTGCAGTGTTCATCTATCCCAAAAGAAAAAGTCGTAAAAGCGGTAGAAGAGAAAGGCACGCATATGGAATTTATATATACCATGGCAGTAGAAACGCCTAAAAACCTCCAGCAAATGTTAAAGCAAACCATATGCGTTGGATCGGTTTCTGAACCCTTTGTGTGTGTTTGTGTGTACAGTATATACATTGCATACCTTACCCTAATGAGAGGCCCATGTGTTTATATAACTTGCACTTGTCTTTAAGCTCAGAGCCTTATGATCATATGAAACAAGTAACACTCACAAACTCTCCGAGTAATCCCCGTCTTAGGAGTGGAAGGACCTCGCTGCGAGGAATGTTGTGGAGGGACACACCATAGACCTTCTGTACACCTTGCCTGGAGAAGAGGACAGCGGGAGGGTGGACGTCATACTTCTCTGCCCTAAGAGAAAGAACAAGAGGTTTCTGAGCAAAGTGGAAATCCTAAGACTGGTATATTTCTAGTTTAATCTATATTTCAGCTATAGATAGAGAAAACCTAATAGAAAACATTAAGTCGGATTACTCAAAAGCATCTGGTAAAATTTTTTATCTAGGTCTATGGCACCCCATCAGATTTCATTGGCCATTCCTGTGTCCAAGATAGAAAAGAAGAGAAAAAAACCCACTTTGCTAATCAAAAACAAATCTCTTATATTAACCTAGTTGGAGCCCTCCCCCTGCTACCATGTGACAGCGCCCCAGCCTAGTGATTGGATGCTCAGGCACACAGCACTGCTTTGTGGTAGGAGAGGGAACGGGTCACATGCTTCTCCGTACTTGCAAGTACCAGGCATATCACTTGGCTCACAAACTGGGTGGCTTGGGAGCACAAAATGTGTAAGCGCCTGAAGAGGTGCAAATGGTTCAAATACAGAGTCACTTTAACTATATTCCCTGTCCAAAAGAAACGGTTGACATTCTGACGTCATGGGTAGGCAAGGGCCGGAGCTGTGAACACATAAAATGAAAGCCTTCTGTAAGCAACCGTTGCTACATTCTCAGTCTCTTCATAACAATGAGCTCAATTTAAAGTAGAACTATGAGGTGAGTGATTTCCACTCATCCTCATAGTTAGAGCCGACCTGTGACATAGAGCCGGTCTGTGACAGTTTCAATCAATCGGGAAGTGAGCAGAAACATGCCGCCGATCCGCTCACTTACCAATCATCTCCCTGCAGAGAGCAGTGACTGTCAGTCACCGCTCCCCGCAGGGATTCCCCCCCCCTCCCTTCTCCGATCCTCCAGCGCTGAGTGGAGGAACGGAACGGACGGGGGAGGGGGCGGGCACAGCTGGCTCTGCCTCTAGATAGGCAGAGCCCGCTGTCAATCAGCCAGCTGGGTGGATCTGAACAGTATTGTCGGGATCGCTCTAAGTATATAGTGGGCAATAGCCCCCTATATACCTATGTACTGAGCTTTGGGTCACAGGAGGAGGTTAGTATATGTCCTCCCGTGACCCTTAAGAGAACTATGGGAAAAAACACTTACCCCATAGTTCTCTTTTAAGTGTATGTAAACCCCTACAACAAACTTCTATTACCTGGTCCCTGTTCTTCTGTTAAATGGACATGTACATTTTGTTTAGTTCCGAATGAATTTCATTAAATTCGGACATTGAAATCCATCCAAATTTTGGAATTCGAACAAATCCAAATGTTAGTTTAACGTAAATTTGGATCCGTCCAAAAAAAAGCTAAATCGGACATGTGACTCTTCTCTGGGCAATCAGATTTTTTTTTTTTTTTTGACTGTTGGGGGTTGGATTACAGGCACGGACATGCAACTTCCTGTGGTGGATCGTTCCGAAATGAAAATTAGGACGAATACGGAATCTGAATCGATCAGAAACTAAACACATTTTTTGCGAGGGTTACATGTTTACTGTTAAATATATTATTGAAAGTGTTTTGTTATATCTGCTCCATAAGTGCAAAAAAACCAATCCTACTGATCCTGTCAGAAATCCAGAGAGCTCCTAACTTCCGGTAGTGAGCTGACAATCCTGTACTAAAATCTCAAACATTATTATTAGCTCCCTGAGATCTCTCTGTGGACTGCAGTACACCTACCCTCAATGTTATGGAGATGTCCGAGAATTCTGAATTGAGAGAGCTAAATTAGATGACCAGCTAAACGTCTTCAAGAAAAATACAGCAAGTCGTTAATTCTTGTTTGTGTGCATATTGGGCAATAAAAAAACATCTGCTTCCTCACATAAATTGTAAGTGTCAGAATGTACATAGAGGAAAATGTTCCAAGCTTTACACGATAGCTTGAGTCTACATGAGCCTGATATGAGGCAATGCACAGATTTCGAGGTGAAGAAGCAGATGTAAATGTTGGGCCATTCCAGACCCTGGCATACCAAACCCTTGAAGCTGATTTACAGCATTATATTTACTGAGATACATAAATATCATCCTACAAGGGTGCGGAGCGGGTGAGGATGGAAAATATTTGTGCAAAAGATAAATTGCTCCTCGAGTATACAGGTAAAACTCGAATAATTAGAATATCGTGCAAAAGTTCACTAATGCAACTAAAAGGTGAAACTAATATATGAGAAAATTCGTATTCAGACCCCTTCGGATGCATTAAACCGAAAAATGCATCTGATTGGCCAGAAAAGTCACATGCTCGATTCAGTTTTAGTTTTTTAATGAAATTCGGACGGGATTCGAAATTCGGAAATTTGGATTCGGACACATTCGGATGCATTGGGATTCGGAAATTCGGATGTGTCCGAATTTCGGAAAACTCGTAAGAATTTTGATCCGGAACGAAACGAATGTCACATGTCTAACTGTCTTTTAATTTACTAAAGGAGTAGATGGTGTCCACATTGATAAACTTCCTCCCGTCCTGTAACCTTGGCACGGTCAGGGGCTGGGAGGAAGAGCCTGCAGGAGTCTGAGCATTGCAACTACAAGTCACTGATTGCGGTTGCAGTTCTTTGCATGCTCAAAGGGAAAAAGTTAATGGCTGCACATTATTTGATTAGTATTTTTTTTAAAGCTGGGCAATGCCTTTCACTTTTAGTCTGCCTACAATAATGTTGTTTATACAACTGTCAGTGAAATCTGCCATTTACAAAAATTAACCTCAAAGTGCCTAGAGGAGAAAGCGCACGCCATTTGGTTGCAGAGTGACTCACATATTTAAGTAAATTAGGGATCCTCATACCCGGGAAACACAATCTAACAGGCTGCTGTCAACATTCATTAATTCCCAGGCTTCAGGCATGAAAATAATTCCTTTTGCCGTCACAGAAAGGAAACTCTCTGTCGCTCTCATCCTCATTTCCCATGCTAGGAAAAGTCTATATGATCTATAGCATGCGTTCTCTCATTTCACATGGGAGGATGCGGGGCCGGCAATTCGGAGGAACCAGACTCCTAAATTAGAGCCTGATCTGGAGAGGGAGGAAGCAGGGAAAGTCATATGGTGCGGACACAGAGGAAGCTGTCGTGCAATCTCCGCCAGAACTGCCTCAGTTACCGTCATCAGTGGTTCTCAACCTGTGTAACCTCAGGACCCACATTTGTCCTTGCCTTGGTCATTTAGCCGTGAATCAAGTTGCACTGCAATGGAACGCATGGCAATGTGGTACCATGCATTACGATGGGGCCAATACAACTGTGGGTGGGAGATGCATTTCGGGTGCCATTCAAATGAATGGCAATGCACCTCCCACAACCGAACGTGTGCTAGGTGCGCTTACGTTAATTTTTTTTAAAAATCCACCCAGTCTCCCTACCTTACGAGAACTGAAGGGGATCCTCAGCCTGGGGTCCAGTGTGGGCTTCTGTGCTGTGACGGAGCTCCCTCCACATGTGCATTGCTCGTACAGTGACCTTGCACACCCTGTAGAGGTGCCAGGAGCCTGAATGTGACATCACTCCAGTCCAGGCACCTCTACAGGACACGCAGGGGAGCTGTAAGCAAAGCACATATGGATGGAGCTCCATCGCGGCCATACTTCCAGCCCACCTCAAGCTGACACTCGGCTGCGGGAAGCATATTTTGAATGGCTGCTCGGCGTGAGAACTGACAGTGCTGTGCTAGGGGGAGGCTGAGGAGCCTCTCACCCAGAAAAGTGCAAGACACGCGGCGACCCACTGAACATGGAGCCGTGACCCACTTTTGGATCGCGTCCCACCAGTTGAGAACCAAGGCATTAAATTATATAACATTTAAATAAAAATCCTAAGCAGATATAAGATACCAGTTAAAAAAAAAAAAAAACCCTGTCCCCCCAAAAGTCCAAAATTCACCTCTCTTGGATCCTGCACTGAAGAACGTTGTTCCATTGAAGAGAAATTCTCCGCTTAAAGTGTATCCAAACCTAAAACCAACAATGTAATATACTGCAGCTTACTAGTCCGTAGGTGTGGTGGCTGCATTTGTTTTCTTTTTCCAGGCTCTTTTACTCCCCGTTATTTTTACCTGGGGATTCAGCCAGTAACACACGTCCTGTCCTAGGGTGACAACGTCCACTCACCCTATTGTATAAGGATAGCAGAAACAGATCAGGACTACTGGTACCAGGGCCGTCCCCATCTGTGGTGTTACCCGGAGCGGCCTCAGGGGCGATATCCCGCTGGGACGTAATCACGCATGCGCAATGTAATCATGTACGCGCATAATGTGGTCACGCTCACTTACCTGCCGGCAGCCATCTTGGTGATGGACGCCGGCAAAGAGAGGAGGGGACGTTCACCCGGCGGGATAAGGCAATGCTGCCGGGTCCCCTCATCTCTCGTGCGGCTCTCGGCCCATGACCGAGTGCCTGACTTTTCAGAGGGGGTGACACCAGAATGACTTGCAGACTGACAGTACCGCAAGGAAGAAGTGCTAAGGAAGAAGTACTAATCACTAAGCCACTGTGCTTGAATATTTTCTGATTCTGCTACCCAACATAGACATTCACTGATGGCATTTTTATTTTCTCCTGGTTCTGATTAAGGGATCCAGGCTCAGAGTCCAGGATAGATATTACTGTAGTTAAAGCCCCGATGAAGGGGAATCGTTTGGCCCCCGAAATGCATTGGCTGTTTTCCGTTACCTTTGCAGACATCCCAACTCTCCCGGATGTTCCTGGAGTCTACTGCTATTAGATAGCGGCTCCCGGCCGCCCGGGAGAGAGAAACACTTTCTCCCAGAAAGGTTTACTCTGCTCGATCTAGCAGAGTAAACCTTTCCCTGCTGTCTGTTTTTTTTTTTTACTCCAATGTCGGAGCCGCCGGGTCACCATCAGAAAAGAAAAAAAAAAAAGACAGCATAGAAATGAATAGCTAGATAGCCATCGGCTTTTTGAATTTGCAATAGCCAATAGCAGACTAATGCTATTCTCCATCAGGTCCTCTCTCTGCTGATTGACAGCAGCAGAGGTCGGGTGCAACAGCCAGCTAGCTATTGGCTATTGCAAATTGAAATAGCAATATAGCTATTCATTCCTATGCCGTTTTTTTGTTTTGTTTTTCTGACGACAGCAACTGTCAGAATACAAAAAAAAAACCCAGCAGATAGCAAGGGAAGCATTAGCTTCTTTGCTAGCTGCCATCATTTCAGGGGGGTGCTCTCCCCCTGCCTCCATGGACCTAGAGCATGCACCCAGTGAACTCCAGCTTGCATCTTGCAAGCTCTGCATGTTAATGCCAGGACAATGAAAGTACAAAAGGATGAAGGCCATCATGCCAATTGGACAAGTAGCATTTTAAGAAGCAGGGTCAGTAATATTGCATGCGGCAGGTCATTATTTCTCCCGTGACACATTTCCTTTAATAAAGTTATTCGAATGCAAGAGGCATGAAAGGAGACATTACTTGGAGGCAAAAACTCAATAATTTCCTGTTTTCAGGAAAAAAGGAAAATGTTATTTTAAGTGAAGCACTCAGACCGCGAACCCGCAAAAGACTCTTGCCATGCACATTAAAGGGAAGCTTCAAAGTGGAGCCTGTAAAGCGTGCATTATACAATGTTTAAGTCATCCAGCATCCGTGATACAGGCTCTGCGCTACGCACCATTACCAGGGAACTCAGGACATTGTTCGTGGGATGCCAAACTTGATGTTATCAGCCTGGGTGCTGACAGGATGCTTAATGGAAAAAAGTGCGCAAAGCACGTGGCCTGGAATGAATCCACCGCTGAATAATATAATTGTAATGATGTAAATCAGATATAACTTAAAGCTGAACTCCAGGAAAATATAAAAGACACAAATGAAGGCAGCTCTGTATTCATGAATGCATCGTTAAAGGTATTTTTAAATGCAAGCAGTGTATATCAGCCTCTACAGCAGAGCTCAGAGTGGGAAAGGAGGTAGCAGCACAATGAGCCAATCAACAAGGAGCATGCTGATAGGAAAAGAAAGAAGAGTGATAGAAAGATGATCTCATCTCCTTCACTGTCCAATCACAGGCTGAGGACAGGGTTCAGAGGTAGTGGGATGTATGATGCTGGCTGCTATTCAAGCCAGAAGACTGGGGGAAAGGTACTGCACGGGACAGCTATATTTTTAATGGGTTATTCATTTTTATATCGGACAGGAATTCTGCTTTAAGGCTGAACTCCGGGATCAGTCCTGTGTAGAGTCATGTGTATTCTTCCTTGAATCTTGGTGAACTTTGTGTATTTCTTCCAGATCTGTGCTCTAATCCAGTGTGAGACTTGGAGCTTCCTGTAATACAGACCAGTCACTGCAACTCTCTCTCCTTGTGCGGGGTGACTGGTCTTGTCTCCGCCCCCTCCTGTAATAAAGTCCTGTCACTGCTGCTCTCTCTCCTTGTGCGGGGTGACTGGTCTTGTCTCCGCCCCCCTCCTGTAATAAAGACCGGTCACTGCCGCTCTCTCTCCTTGTGCAGAGTGACTGGTCTTGTCTCCGACCCCCTCCTGTAATACAGACCGGTCACTGCAACTCTCTCTCCTTGTGCGGGGTGACTGGTCTTGTCTCCGACCCCCTCCTGTAATAAAGTCCTGTCACTGCTGCTCTCTCTCCTTGTGCGGGGTGATTGGTCTTGTCTCTGACCCCCTCCTGTAGTTTCTGCAGGCATCCTGTAGTGGGTGGAGCCTGCCCACAACAACAAAACTGAATCAGGAGCCTTACCATTTTCTTTCCCTAGAGTTCTGCAATAATGGAAATGTATAATGGTTTTCTATATAATTTATTTGTTTATTATGGGTCATCATTTTTTAGGTCAGGCAGGTATAAAATATTGCATATTTAAATTAATATTATTACATATTTTCTATTTTATTATTTATATTTTCCCTTTCATCAACAGGAATAGCTGTGGTCTTTCGTTCATGTTTTTCCATAGACTCATAAGGCCCTCTGTTGTTTACAGAGCCTAATAGCTCAAGCTTTACACACTATTGTTTTGCCTTTAAACTTTTTCTCTTCCTAGGAAACATTCTGATATACCACTGATCTATCACAGTTTGAGTCAAGTGTGTGAAACTAGAGTGGTGTGACCACAGTGTCCTTCTCTTCCTCTTTCTTATTACTGCTTTATCGACCAAACCTCAAAATGAACCTGTTGGTGGGCGGGACGTGTTTATGGTAACATGCAGAACGTGCAGAGCGTGCAGACACTATTTCTTTTTTCAGACAGAAAACAAGGAAGTGTGGAAAGCTACTGCAGATACAAAGAGTATCCAAGTGAGTTCTTTGGGCAACAAGATCACTCTTATGGGTCATCCACATGGGCCTGCAGATCCGTATGATGTGCTCAAGTTTTCTCAAGTTTCTCCTTTATTTTTACCTGGTGATCCTTATCGCTATAGGTTGAACTCGGTGGACTTGAGTCTTTCTTCAACCTGACTAACTATGTAACTATATGTAACTATGACATGAAACGGTGCGTTTCTGGAATGGCAAGATCCACAGGTCGTTTCTGTAGTTGCTGAACATGTTTGAAAAAAGAAAATGAATGCAGCCACCACATCTAAGGTCTGGTGCAGATTTCGGGGAATGCGGAACGCGCGTCCCGGGATCGTGCGATTGTGTGCAAGTGCACACAGCGGTTGCTGCGCGGACCCATTGATTTCAATAGGGTTACATCTGCGCAGCTGAAAAAAAGTACAGGCACCTTTTTTGGCGACACCCACCAAGCGATTTTTTTAAACCACAATCGCATTATTATTATTGTACAGGATTTATATAGCGTCAACAGTTTGCACAGCACTTTTCAATATGAGGGAGACATTACAATCACAATACAATTCAAGACAAGATGGTAAGGAGGGCAGGGGCGGTATCTGCCTGGAGCGACTGGGGTGCCATTAGAAAATAATGGCAGTGCCAGCATGATCGGCGGTGGTATGTGATTCCGTGATTGTGCAGTCATTCGCGCGGTTTCGTGCACAATTGCCACATGGTAAAGATGCTTACCTGCAGTTTGGGAGTTCTACATGCTGAAGAAGAAAAGAAAACAGACTTTAGGTCTCATACTTAGCCGAATGGAACATATGCCACGCCTGACATTGATAGGTAGGTTCATGATGGTTACAATGGTTTGAAGATTTAGTAGTAAACTATATTTTGACACCTTATTAATTATTCTTTCCTAAAGATCAATATTGTGGATACCTCTGTTATTCCCTGGGGCTCTCCTGCTGCTAGGATTCTGGAGGCCTCTGCTCTAGGGAAAAGGTAAGTATTTGGGGTAGTTCAAGGGCAATTTGTATAATGGTAAGCTCAAGGGGAATCAGAAGACATTAAGTCTATTCATGGCTTTTGCTCCTGCTTTAAATAAATATACACACAAACTATTTTAGGCAACAAGATCCCAGACTCACAGGACAGATGTTTTCTCTCCAGTGTAAATTCCCACACTTGCGAAACCTCGAAGGTCTTTTCCGGCAGTGATAAAATCATTGGTTGCTGTAATTAATGAGGACATTTAACACCATTATTTTATAGAATTATCATTGAAAAATTGATGAAGCTTTAAATAGAATGTACAAATGTGCAAGGGACATACAACACAGTCCGTACAAAGGGTCAGTTCCTTGTAGTAGTTAGGGATATCGCAGATACAACATACTGTATGTGACCTCTCGTATTAGAGTAATCCATATATCATTACAGAGGTTGTAATCGTGAATAACTGGAATGTAAATTCACTCAAATGCACGTAGACATGGAACCAGTAAAAGAGACAGTGAGACTGACTAAACATTGGTCATGGAAAATAAGAAACTGTAGATAATATTATGTTTCACCAACATGTGTGGTTATTATATACAATACATGCAATTAGAGGATATACACTATAAGGCACTAGTTTGTGGACACCTGACCATCACACCTCAGCTTTTTGGAGTTCCTATTTCAAAACCATGGCCAATAATATGCGGCAAAATTTATATTTTCATGAGATTTTTCAGCTCAGTGGAGTTTTTGTACATTTAGGTATTCCAATCCATCCCATCCATCTGTGCAAGTCATTTGAGTCCCTCCACACCAAACTCATCAAATCATGTCCTTATGGAGTTGGCTTTGTACACAGGGGAAGAGTCACGCTGAAACAGAAAAGGGCCTTCAACAAACTGTTTCCACAAGTTTGGAAGCTCACAATTGTCTAAAATGTCTTTGTATGTGGTAGCCTTAAGGAAACCCTTCACTGGAACTATGTGAACTCAATAGTGTGGAGGGGTGTCTACACATTATGGCCATATAGTGTAGGTGTGATGGTCAGGTATTCACTAACGTTTGGGCTGTATAGTGTACCTTTAGTAGAAAGCATAAACCATATAGGTGTTTGCTTATACCCAGCTTAAAGGGGATTTTAACTATTCCTCCCATGAAACAAAAGGTGGTAGCATAGAATAATCTGAAGACATGTCCCAAAGTGGTCCGAACCCATCCTGGAAACATAAATAATGGAGGAGCAAGGATCCTACTTCTAGCTTTAGCAGTGGTACTCCTTTATGCAATTGCGTGTGTATGCCCAAGATGGGGTGAGGGGGTGATCAATATTCATTGAAAATTGAACCCCTTTAGAGTAGAAGTCACACAGACCTTTCCTATGATAACAGTTTCCATTTTGCATACCAGTGATAGGGTGCCATTGCCTACATTTCTGCTGTGCAGTAAAATTAAAAGGTTCAATTCAAAATCTTAGTTTAAAGTAATCAGGACTTCCAATTGTAGCACTATTCATAATTATTTCCCATAATCGCTATTCTGAAACCCCCTGTGATATACCTTTGTCCATGTCGGGGGTAAATATTCCCAGCACTAAAACAGGATCATCCGGTAATGATTTCTTTGGCATCTTTCCACTCAAATACTCTTCTGCTTCTTCCACTGTACTCAGCTGCAGGGGGCATTCCTGCTTCATCCTGATAATAATAAACACCTTGTGTTATAGGAAGAAAAAAGAAGAAAGGGTACAAAAGTAAGAGAGGATAAAGAATAGAGGAGAGGGAAAAAGCGGAGAGTGAGGTAGGGGAGAGAGGAGAAGAGAGAAGGGGGAGGAGCGAGAAGAGGAAAGAGGGGAGAAGGAAGGAGAGTGGGCATAGGAGAAAGAAGAGGAAAGAGGGGAGAAGGAAGAAGAGTGGGGAGAGGAGAGAAAAGAAGAAAGAGGGGAGAAGGAAGGAGAGTGGGGAAAGGAGAGAGAAGAGGAAAGAGGAGAGAAGGAAGGAGAGCGGGCATAGGAGAAAGAAAAGAGGGAAAAGGGTAGAAGGAAGAAGAGCGGGGAGAGGAGAGAAAATAAGAAAGGGGAGAAGGAGAAGGGCGGGGAGAGGAGAGAAAAGAAGAAAGAGGGAAGAAGAGCGGGGAGAGGAGAGAAAAAAAGAAAGAGGGAAGAAAAAAAAGGAAGGGGAGGGGAAGAAAAAAGTGGAGAGAAGGCTAAAGAGGATAGAAGAGTGGGGTGAGAAGAAAGAGAGGGAGAAAGGAGGAGAAAGGGCAGAGAAGATGAAACAGGAGAAAGAGTGGAGGGGGAAACGGAAGGAAAGAGGAGAGGGAAAAGAGAGGAGAGGGAAGGGGGGATAGAAAAGTGGGAAGGACAGGCTGGAAAAAAAAGGGAGAGGGGAGGCTAGAGAGAGAGGAGACGGGGAAGGGCAAGAGAGGGGAGGGCGAGAAAGGAGAGGAAAAAAGAAGAGATTAATGAGAGAAAGGAAGGGAGAGAAGGAAGGTAGGGGGGAAATTAGAGAGGGGAGAGTAGAGATAAGGGGAAAGGGAAGGCCGCCACAGTCAGAAAGAGGTATTTAGGCACTTGGGTGGGGTTTGCCTTAGAATAGGTTTGGAGGCTAAGAGAGAGGCTGGGGAGTTTTTAGTCTAATGTAAAACATTCCTTTCAAAATCCATTTCATTATTTCCCAATGTATAGGTACATTAATTAAATGTCAGCCTTTTACATCTGCCTATACTCTGATGTATACCAAGGAAACATACAAAAATGATGTCCTGGAACACCAATCTTTAATCATAACAAGATGTATCTCTGCAGAATCTTTGCAGTCTGTTGGACCTCTCCACTTCCTAATTACATTGCGTGCTTATTTTATTACGCCTTTATTCAATGATCAGCTTCCCCTAATTTCCGTCCGTGATACATGCTCTGAGCAGAATGTCAGCTTACAGACCCAAGGAATTACGTGTAATTATACATGTAAAGCAACAGGCACGTCTACCATGCTTCACATGTGCTCTCCATTACCACGGTCAGAAAGTCGGATGTCATGTAGGGGAGATATTACTTTGAGAATGTCCATTCTGTTTCTTTAGAGACAATATTGCGTTTAAAAAAAAAAAAGCGATAACAACTAAAAAAAAAAAACATAGCAATTATGGGGTAGGAAATGGTTTAAAGATGAACTTTAAAGTGCCAATCCACCAAAAAGTGATAGTCTAGCAGTAGTTGAGGTCTGGTGGGTTAATCCACCTGCTGTCATTTTCATATTTTGTATCGTTGGGTTCAAATAGTGAGATCTCCTTGTCAGAGTACCTGGTTTTGTTCCCATCATAATATAACGATCAAAGATTTTTATTATCTAACAAGCAGTGTTGACCTGACAGGCGTTGAGTTCCTATAGGCAACTTTTGTTTGGAGGCATAGTTTAAGAATCCAACAGGGAATGTGTGCTGTAAACGTCATGGTAGTTTTGTGGACCTGGAAAATCACTTGCAGAGAATGCTCCATCCATGTCACTGTACAAAGAACCGCTATGTGATTTAAAGAGACACAGTCTGCTGAAAATCCTCCCTAGCAAGGCATATTCAACAATGCATGCTATCATGACAGCTCTCTGCTCCACTTAAAGGAGCAGGGTTATTGAGTATGGACCATGTGACCTCCTCCATCCCCACCACTGCCTGTGCGACGTGGACCATTCCAATTGACTGTCCACCGGAGGGGTCCTCTCAGGATCCAGAAAACTATGGACATCAGTTCAAGGAGAGCCAAAGGAATTGGCCGGTGGCAGTAACTCTAAAAGGTGCCCATACACCTTACGATTATCGGACGATTTTCGTATGCGATCGACTTTTCAGCCAATAATCGTATGCATTGCATGTCCGACCGACAGTACTGTACAATCGTACGACTTTTGACGGTCAAGCATGTTTGAAAACTTTGCTAGATTTTACGATTGTCGTAAGGTTGCTGGCGTTTCTGTCCGTCAAAAGTCGTACGATCTACGCAGCGTACGTGTACGCAGTCGTACGATCTACGTAGCATGCGCTAACGAAAATACGGCAAATCAATTACCGCATTTCGTCCAGGTGCTTTTCGTTAATTGCGGCTAAATTAATCTTGCGATCATCAGGGCAAGATGGGGCCGTCGTACGAAAATCGTACAATGGTTCGATCATCGGACGAAAAGTTTAGTCCGATAATCGTAAGGTGTATGGGCACCTTTACACTGGATTAGCGGTCCCAACAACATCAGTGAGGGAACTAGATGGAGGGACTCAGGTGAGCATAATTTTCTTCACGAGGTAAGAAAAACTAAACACCTAGCAGGGTAGGTCACAGGGGGGTAAGAGGGAGGGATGGTAGGGAGATCTTCTTTGCTTTAAGTTCACAAGAAGTGAGAAGGACCCGGATTTCCGGAACAATCAACAGGTATTTTCTGTACTGGCTGCAAATGTTTTTAGTCTGAAAAGTGAAAACTGAGGCAGCCACCACATCTGAGGACTGGTAATCTGCAACAAATTACATTTTTGTTTCTGGGTCTAGGTACACTTTAAATCCATACAAGAAATGTATTGAATCCAAATAACTGCTGAACGTACAACATTTACATATGTAAGTTAATAAACAGATAAGTCACGAATCCTGCAAAACCTTAAACCCTTACAGCATGAGAAAGCTGGCCAGTTCATCGGTTCCCATCATTCCCGTGTACAGAAATGGCTCCTGTCCAGCCTGGTAGATTCTTATCACAGGGACAGTGGTGATGTTCTCCTTACTGCAGACATCTGTCCAGTCCGCACAGTTCACTCGGGCCAAAGACACATCCAGGAGGTCTAAAAGAAGGAAAAAGGAGACCATCAGGGATTATAAATACACTACTTTATATCACCCTTCTCCTGAATCTCTACACAGCATATTATTATACAGGATTTATATCACGCAAACAGTTTGCGCAGCGCTTTACAATATAAGGAAGACATTACAATCATAATACAATTCAAGACAAGGTGGTAAGGAGGGCCCTGCCCCTGAGGGCTTACAATCTAAAAGGGAGGGGGAAGTGATACATGAGGCGGTAGCTGTGTGGGGATGAATTGTTTGAGAACGTGATGGTTGAGTGGTTAGTTTGAGGTGAGATAGGCTTCCCTGAAGAGATGAGTCTTAAGGGATCGATAAAAAGGCAGTCAGAGTGAGAGATAGACGGACAGGTTGGAGTAAAGAATACACTGTATGTGAAAGAAAAGAGTTTACACAGCTTCAGTTTCAATATTGTTGGGTGCCAGAGTCACAGTGACATCAGTGTATCCTTAATCCAAATTATACCTAGAGAGCTGTAAATCACATTCCGGTGAATGATTCATGTCCCTATCACAAAAGGCTCTAACACCTGTGCAGCCTTTCACCTAGATGTCTATGTGGCAGACAAAGGCGGCTGCGTTGCATGTCAATGTAACTGTCACCTCCCGTCCTTCCCATGGGCAGGTATGTGCGTGGTCTTCAAGCAATATGTAAAATCTCACATGTAGGTGTGTTTCCTCTTCTCAGGTGTAGGTGTGTTACACATTCCGGTGTTGAACAAATGGCATTATCAACGTTCATAAGTTAAGGTAAGATCATCTTCCGTCCATAAAAAAATAACTCGCTGAGGAATTGCAGTTGAGGACGCATTACATTTAGATACAAGCTTTAAACAGACTTATTGTTCTTGGGATAGGTAACAAAACAAAAAAAAAGATTAAAGTAGATATAAAGCCAATCAATAAAATGTGATATAAGCGTTAACATCTTAATGTAATTCCAAATATTGTTTTACATCTTTTTAAAGCTTTCATTAAAATAATCCCTGCTGGTCCTGCCAGGAAGGCCCTTACTGAAGCACTTCCTGTTTTGCGGTGAAAAGTGTCTGCCAACCAGGGCCATCCCCAAAATGAGGCAGGTTGAGGCTGTTGTCTCGGCATCTCTTTGGGTCATGTGGGGTGCGACAGGCAAAACAGCACGGCTGCTCTGCTGTACAACGTTTGCAGTGTGACTATTACCCCCCTTCGCCAGTCAGAGCATCCGAGGTGCTAAGACTCGGGAGAAGAGGTGTAAGGGTCATACACATCTCCCTGCCCAGCTCTTGGGCAACCTGAGATGCTCTTGTCAGCATCCCGCTCAGCTCTTGGCAACCAGTGATGTCAAAGACTACATGAGCCCGTGCCTTGACCTCTAGACTCATCACCAGCACTAAAGAGCAAGAAGGATTCCCATCATCCAAGGCCACACTTCCAGCAATTGCTGTCAAGCTGGCTTGTGCACCACGGGTGACTTGCTTCTGCAGGATATAAATGGAGCCCACATTACGGTCTCTGCACCAATATGTTTTTTTGTGGGTATGTGGCCTCCAGGTTTTGGAGTGGGTTAGACCCTCTGTCAAGTTTCCAATGCTCTACTTAAACTTGTGACCAAAAAAAAAAGTGACGGAAAATCCAAAGGTTTACAGTTGTGTCAAGAGGTAAGAGGAAATCTTACAAAGGACACCTATTCTAGGGAAATCTCACTTTGGGATATTTCCTCTAAACATCCTGTTGCAGACAGGAAGTGAAGGGAAATTTCCCTAATGGTACACAAACAGCATGAAAATATCCTAGCAGAGTTTTTAACCCTTTCCCTACTCTATCCAAAACTTAAAGTGCTGGCTATACATGGTAGCCAGGGGTGTCCCCAGCCTTTTTGCCACCTGAGGAGACGCATGGGGGGGAGGCTCTGTCTGGTGGCCCGCCCAGTCAGAACATCCCGCCCAGCTCCTGGCAGCCAATGACGTCACTGGTTACCAGTAGCTGGACGGGACGCCGGCCAGAGTGTCCCAGGTTGCTAAGAGTTGGACGAAGAGATGTGTATGGTCCTTACATATCTCCCCACCCAGCTCTTAGCAACCTGGGATCCTCTGGCCAGTGTGGGGGGCAGCAGGCACACTGCCAACATTGTGCATGCTGCTCTGCCTGCCGCCATCCCCACGTGACCGAAAGAGATGCCACCAGAGGCGACAGCCTTAAAGTGACATTAAACCCTCAGATTTTTTAACATAAAACAATACTGTAATGTGCGCCTTACTGTAATCCATGGTAGTTTCCCTTCTCTTTGCTGCTCTTCCTTTTAAATCCTCATGTCTTCTCATGCTTGGGGAGAACTTCCCTTTGCAGCTGAGTGCCTCTTCCTGTAGAGCTGGCTCAGGTAGCAAACCTACACACAGACACCATGTATCCCTTTCTGAGACAAGGCAGTCTGCTGCAAAACAGAAGTTCTGCAGAGCATGAGAACAGATACAGATTTAAAAGGAAGAGCAGCAAAGAGAAGGGAAACAACCATGGATTACAGTAAGGCGCACATTACAGTATTGTTTTACGTTAAAAAATCTGAGGGTTTAATGTCACTTTAAGCTGCCTAATTATAGGAGCATCCCTGACTGCAACATTTGACTTCATATCTTTTAGTTCTATTGTACGTATATTTTCAAATATTTGAATGCACTTGGATACCAGCTATTTTCTTAACCTCCCTTGGTGATGACAACCGGAAAAAAAAAATCAGACTTTGTAATTGTCAAATTAAACACTGTTTTAAATCTTTCTACAAGATCTGAAGTGTCGGGTTCTCAGTTAGCATGCGTGTCAATGGCAGCATACAGAGCAGCCTAACCTGTCTTATTCACAGAGGGAAAGAATTCACTTTTCCCATACTTCAGATAAACAGAGGGGCCATTAAACTGACGTTCTGTGTGAGTCAGATAAACACATCTAGAGTCACCAAACAATACTGGAAATTCGGCACCGTCAAAATAAACCGCTCGCTTCTCGCCATTGTGACGCAAGGTGGTCTAATATGGCACAAACTGGATCTCTGTTTGCATATCCAAAGTCAATTCTCACTAAGGTAATGTGGAGTCGACATTGTGTTTTATAAATGCCAGGAAATGGTATTATATGGGTATAATACCCCTTAAGACTGGAGATGGAACACAGCTGCGGAGATCACCTTCACAAGTCAAAAGCTTTATTTCACAATTATCGCAGTCTCTATTTTAATAAAGTTGTCTCAGCGGTAATGTTTAGCATTAGTGATGGGCTCGGGCGTGTTCGCAGCTCCACGTGCCGAGCCCGCCAGGAAGCTGACAGCACCAATCACAGGCACGGAGACATTTCCCGATCTCTGCAGCTGCGGACCGGGATAATGTCTCAGTACCTGTGTTTGGCGCTGCGGCGCTGTCAGCTTCCTGGCGGGCTCGGCACGTGGAGCTGCAAACACGCCCGAGCCCATCACTATTCAGCATCACATCACATGAGTAATAATCACTTATACTGGAAGAGCGTTACACTGATGAGGTGATTGCAATGGTTACTGCATAACACAAAGCTAAAATCAATAGTTTGAATGGGGATGTGGCAGCAGTGCTAGGTTTGTAATAGTGGCTTCACATCACAGGGTTAACAGATATTTAATCTAACTGAGCATGTAACTGCTGTGGTAACTGCAATGTTCACTTCACATCACACGGTTAAGGTGCCCATACACTGCACGATTCTCGTACGAGAATCGCGGGAAATCCTGCGATCGTACGAGAATCGTGCAGTGTATGGAAGGCGTGCGACCGTCTCTACTGTACGGTCGCACGTCTTCCGTCGAACCAGCATGCTAGAAAACCCGCCGGGAATCGTACGATTCTCGGTGAGTTAGTGGCCTGCTGATTCGACAACTGCCGAACGGGCCGGTGTGTGCACGCGCATACAGCCCGTTTGCAGACATCGTAAGCCCGCCCCTCATTGTAGTGATCATAAGCCCGTCCCTCAGGGGGGCGGACTTGCGATGATCGCAAGTACGATCTGCCTGTCCAAGATGGGCAGATCGTACGTTTTTTTAAGTACTTTACAACCCTCACAAGACAAAAGTCTTGCGAGGGTTGTAAAGTGTATGGCCACCTTTAGAATTAGTAGTTTGAATGAGCATTTAACAGCAGTGATAAGGTTGTAATATTAGCTTCACATCGCAAATTCAAAGTCAGTAGGGTTGCATGAACATAATCACCTGTGGTAATTGAATACTTGCTGTTAGTTGTACACAAGCTAGATCTTGCTGTAAAGGTGCCCATACACCTAGCGATTATCGTACGATAATCGCGGGAAATCCTGCGATCGTACAATAATCGGCAGGTGTATGGAAGGCGTCCGACCGTTTCTACTGTACGGTCGCACTACTTTTGTCTTACGAGCACGTTGGAAAACCAGACGAAAATCTTAGGATTTTCGTCGGGTTTGTGGCGTGCACGTAAGACGAATGCCACCCGGTCCGGTGTGCGCAAGTGCACACTGCCTGCTCAGCATTGCAGTGATCGGAAGCCCTCCCCTCAGCGCGGCGGGCTTGCGATGATCGCAAGTACGATCTGCCTGTTCAAGATGGGCAGATCGTACAAGCTTTTAATTACCTTACAACCATCGCGGGACGAAAGTCCAGCGTAATGGAGATACTTGCAGTGGCTGATTGCTGGCTGCAGTGGCCGTAGAGCAATGGGTGTAGAAGGCTGTAGAGCAATGAACTGCAGTCAGGCGTGGTGCACCATGTGTCCCAGCAAGCCCCGAAGGATGAGGTGTGCAGGGGCGCAATTGTAGGTGGCTAAGAAGTGACTGTAGCTTCAGGATGGAGAGCGGGGTTGTGCAGAGCTTGTCCATTGCAGGAACGCCGGACAAGTGAAACTTCGCTGCTTAAGCTGAGGAGGACGACGGAGCAGCGTGACGTTGGCGGACCGGGGGCGGAGCTACACTCCGTGTCCGAGATGCAGGAGAGGTAAGTATACCGGATCTATTACAGTGAGTCGGCTTTTAAATCCATGCCAAGACAATGTGGCTCATTATTTTAGCTGTGGAAATCCCTTACAGAATTTTCTGTTTTCAAGTTAATAGACCATTAAGAATTTTCAGGAAATAGAGGAAATAAAGGATGAGGCAATTAAAGCGCAAAGTCTCCCACTATCTCACCTCTTCAGGGCCATTCCTATAATAAGGCAGCCTGGGTCACGGACCCCCCCACCCCTTTGTGGCCAGAGCATCCCAGGTTGCTTGAAAGTCTTAGCAACCTGTGATGCTCTTGGCTGGCGTCCTGTCCATTTCCTGGCGACCAGGGATATCAGTGAGCTGGGCGGGATGTCAGACGGAGCCAGAGCCACCCCCCAAGGTAACAAGCGCTACCAACACCCGCAACCCCTCCCCCCCCTCCTGTGTCAAATGTCTAGGGACACCCGTGCATTTCTTTACGTACCCCATGTATGTTATAAATTATAAGTGTTTGCATAGCTAAGTAATTAACACTTCGCTCAGCACAAGTGTCTTCACACAGAGTTGTATTGCAGAGAAAGGGAGGGGAGTGTCTGACCAGGTCTGCGTGAATTACTGAGTGATGACTACTGAGTGCACTGGATATTTTGTGGTGCCTATTGAACAGCATCGTTATAATAATACAGATAAGACCATAAAAATGTAGTTGTGAGTTCAATGTCTATCTGAATGCATATCTATTTCTGTGACTTAAAATGGGCTTTAAATCCTGGCGGGCCTTATTTATCAACCTGTCTTTTAAAAGTGGACCATCCTGACTGTGAACTAAACATGAGATTGTAGTCCATCCCGGGAGTGAGCTTGGAGCGGTGACTACTTTACAACACACACAGGGACCATGGGGAATAAAAGTAGTCACCCTCCAGAAGGAAGGACAGTGTCAGCACCAATTCAGAGATGATTGGAGGATCTACAGCCGAGTGATACACAAATAAGATACATTGTTGTTATTAGTTGAGGTTCCTGAATGTATTTTTAAGATTCCATTCCTGAGTTTAGTGTCACTTTAAATAAGGGGAAGGCTATATACACAACCACATCTATTTCTCTGCTAGTCACCCAATCCATTCAAGTTGTTATGCTTACGCTCAATACCACCAGTGATCTAAAGTAAAGTTGAATTTGGGAAAGTAGTGTGTATACCCTAAAAATCCAAAGCAATAAGGTGTGCACAAAAACCAATCAGATTGTTCCTTTCATTTATGAAACTGCACTCCGAAATGTTAGAGTCTTTGCTACAGTAATGTGCAGATGCTGTTTGACTTTTTTTTCTTTTTAAATGCCTTTACAAAGGACACTTTCGTTACACAATTCTTGACATGTATTTCTACCAGACATCAAGGTTCATTTCAAGACATGTTTTATATACTAGCACTAAGAGATCACCTCATACCTTTGTATTTTGCTGCCATATTTGTAACTGACTCCAGGAACGACAATGACACGGGATCCCCTGCAAATTAGAGATAAAAAATACTTGATATTATAATAAGGAAACTAACAGGTTATGTAAACTGTACTCCAGGGTAGGGGGGGGGGTTGAAAATACATCTTTTTACCCACCTCCTAATAGACCAGTTTGCTCCTCACCACCAAGAACCTGATGGAAACTTAAAAGGAGAACTATGAGGCGAGTGAAAATCACTCATCCAAATAGTTCGAGCCGATGTGTGACAATGAAACTGTCACACGTCGGCTCAATAGAACGGGTAGTGAGTGAACACATATCGTCGCTCGCTCACTTCTCGATCATCTCCTTGCAGAGAGCCGTGACTGTCAGTCATTGCTCCCCGCACGAATTCCCCCCCTCCCCGCTCCGATCCTCCAGCGCTGACTGGGGGAACGGACGGGGGAGGGGGCGGGTACAGTTGACTCTGCCTCTAGATAGGCAGAGCCAGCTGTCACCCACGCAGCTGGGTGGATGTCGACAGTAATGAGATCCGTCCCGGCTGCGGAGGTCTCAGTATAACGCGAGCTTGAGATATACTGAGCTTTGGGTCGTGGGAGGACGCTAGTATATGTCCTCCCGTTAATCCCTTAAGAGAACTATGGGGAAAAACACTTACCACGTAGATCTCTTTTAATACCTCCATGTCAAGGTTTGCCACAAGGTATACCGTACAACCTTAAAGCAGAACTATACTCACCTTCTCTCTAGCGATGCAATGTCTGCAAGCTCCCTCACTGGTGTCTACATCTTCCGCCAGTCTTATTCTAGGTTCAGGATCTTTGACTATCTTAATTGGCCATATGGGGATGATGTTCTTTCCCCCCAGATACATGCACGGCCATCTACATTGTCGGGAATATTGCAAACAAACAGGTAAGAATCCTTTACTGCAGGACTGGAACTTTCCTTTCCAAATCAACTGAATGAAGATATTCAAAATAGCACTTTAAGCATCTATTCTGTACCGGCCACACCTGCACAGTCAATCCCCATGGACTTTTATGAGGCCCAAGGCAGGCCTCATAAAGGCACATGAAAGATGGACCCATAGAAGTCTATGGGCACAAGGAAGATGGACCCATAGAAGTCTATGGGGATTGACACCTTGCCAACGCTCCCCACCGCTCCTTTCTCTGCTGCAGCTAGCTCTAAAATCCTCAGCTGGGGTTGGATGCTAGAGAGGAAAGGTCAATTCTTTAGTCGTATGACAGTGCTTGGACCTAGCAATTAGCTGCTAGACCTGAGCACTGTAACATAGGAGGAGGTCATAAGCTGTGATGGAGAAAGGAGCAGTAGAGGAGTGCAGGCATAATGAGTATCAATGGAGCATGGTTTTTTTTTGTAAAGACAGTGTCACTTTGCCTTAAATGTGGAAGGTGACAACGACTCTGTAACATTACATCTTCTCAAACTTTTTCACTGGTAAGGTTCACTTTAAGCTGGTCGAGTCCGCTGTGTATATAACAAAAATATCAAAACCTATAGATTTTCTTTACAGCACTGTAAATATAAATATAAATGCACACAGATGTTTAATTAATAACTGCCTAAAAATGGTGAGATTATCTGAAATTAGAATCTCCCACAGATTCCCAGAACATGATGGATTCTCCGTTCCCTGCGTCCCTGACCTGCAATTATTGGCATATGCTCTCAGTCATGTAGTCATGTAGCTATAATATATACAGATATCATGGAGTGAGCAGCTCTGTACAAACAACAGAGCCATGTTCAGCCTCTTGTGTATTGCTGGGGCTGAGTATCAAACTACACTATGGAAAGATGGCTCTAATACACATAGCAACTTGCCAGACTTCAGCAAAGTTCCAAAATGCTGCACAACTACTTTTTTCCTTCCCCTCTTTTGGGATTAATGTTTGGCACTAAGGGCTCATTTGCACCACATGCATTGGGCTGCATTGGTCAACGAAGTCCCAATGCATAGACAAGCCCAAAAGCATTGATTTCTATTTTACAACTGCATTTGGTAGGAGGACTGGAGCCCTGGTATGGACGGGTGTAAAAGGATCAGTTACTAGGAGGCAGCTCTTTGTCTGCAGGGGTGTTCATTGAGATCTCCAGAAGAATTTTTAAGACATTAGAAAGTTAAACGTGACACACCAATTGGTTTAGTCCACTAAGTGTTCTTTATTCTATTCATGTAAGGGTACAAAGCTAATGCATTTTGGGGCTCACAGTTCCTCCTTCATCAGGGCTTAAAAACAAATTCAGGTGACAGCTGTTATACTGGCAACTGACTGCTACCATATGCATTCTCTCTACACAGTTGCTGTGCAGTGCAAAATTCATTATCCGCCATGGCCGAGAAGGATCACGACAATATTGTGGGGGTCATTCTCGGCTGCCTGACAAGTGGCTCTGCCTCTCTGTGCACAGTTGAGAGCCGGAGCCCGCCGCTTCCGCTTCCTCCCCTTTCTGTAGCTCAGGCTTGCCCTGGAGGTACAATGTGGGGAATTCCTGCAGCAGCCAGTGACTGATAGTTACTGCTCTACGCGGGGAGCAGAGACCGAGAGCTGACTGATCATTGGTCATGTGATCGGACAGTTCTTGGTCTTAGAGCCAACGTTGGATATCTGCAGTGTCCATGCTGGTTCTAGGTATTGGGGAGAGTATGTGTTACTCTCCCTGTACTTCAACTTTAATGCTGAACAAGAAGTATCAAAACATACATCACAATCCTTTCGGTGAGATCCTGAAAACACTAAGGGGGTTATTCACAAAACTGCCGAAGGCAGCCGTGTGAATAACCATGTCGAAGTGAAGTGAGCAGAACAACGTTCGGCTATTCACTCCGGCTCAGTACAGCTGAAATCAGCCGTACATCGGCTGCCTTCGGTCAGTCGAACATGCTCAGCATGTTCGGCTGAGCCGAAGTGCAGAAGGACTTCGACTCAGCTGTTCCAACATCTGGATCAGCTGAGCCGAAGCTTCAGCAGCTCACTCGCTGCCCTTCGCCCCTATTCACATAGGGGCCGAACGGCAATGAGTGAATAGCCGAATGCTACCAAGCGGGATTGGGCTAGGCCAGTGATGGCGAACCTTGGCACTCCAGCTGTTTTGGAACTATAAGTCCCATGAGGCATTGCAAGGCTCTGACAGCCACAGACATAACTCCCAGAGGCAGATGCATGTTGGGATTTGTAGTTTTGGCACAGCTGGAGTGCCAAGGTTCGCCACCACTGGGCTAGGCTATTCTGCTTGGTACCTCTGCCCAGCTGTCATTTGCAGCTTCGGCTGTCACTTCGGCTCAGTCGAGCTGAAGCATATGTGTTTGGCTGAGCTGCTCAGCCGCCTTCGGCTGCTGTGCGGGCTATTGTGAATAGCCCGTACAGCCTCCCTTCGGTTCGACTGAACTGAAGGTCTCCGGCGGCTGAGGAGAGCCGAAGGATCAGCCGAAGCTACAGCTGGATCTTTCGGTTCTTCTGTGAATAACCCCCTAAGTATCCCATAGCTTGTGAGAAGACACTCCAGCCCAGTACAGGATGGTGTTCTCACTTTTGGGATCCTCATCACTTCCAGGATCTTGCCGAGAGGATGGTGATGTTACCCTCACCTAGGTGCTACAGACACAGCTGGGTGAAAGCTAAATGTATTTTAGCAATGAATGCAGCACTTTGGAATGGAGAAGTGAGCCTGACGCAACCGACTTGATTAATCCTCTGAAATCGGAAATGTATCGCCCATTTAGATCAGTATGTACATACGTGTATGGGCACCATAAGCGTCACAATATTCCTTTCTGAAGACCCATTTCGGACTTTAATATATATGTTCTGTCAGCGCTGAGCTAAACACAGAACTAAACACTCTGACATATATTTACATTGTCACGATGACTTCTACCACCAGGAAGGAATGCATCTGGAAACTTACAGCTCATATAGAAGAGGACAGCTGTGTGACGGGGGCTGAGCGGAACCATCTTGAATGTCTCATCCGTCATGGAAGGTACCAGCTGCAATGGTAAGCTGCGATTTTTGTCTCTATATACGGCTTCCGCTACCTCATCATCCTGGACCTCTGCGGTTAGAGAAAAAAAAAGGATCAGAAACCTAAATATTTACAAGTCGCTGACACGTGTTTAAATACCATTCCCGCAACGAAAAATTACATAGCCATTTTTCAGAAAAGGGTTCATGTCTGGAGATGCCTACAGTATATGTCTTATGGACTGCAAATGTGCAGACTAAACCAAACAGAGCAAGGGTATACAGAGAGAACGAAGCCAAAATAAATTGCAGTGCAGTTACAGCGCATTTTGTTGCATTCAAAGATACAGTACGTGTAACATGTATGACTATATATGTAAAATGATGTAACATGTATGCAGCACTGATCCACCGCTATTCAATAACATACCTGCTAAAAGAAGAGGTGATATATTTATCTTTTCGGCTACCCATGTGTTTAAATGCTACTGCTTTGCTGACCTTCCCTCCACCTGTGAGTATTAGACTGGTCGGATGGGTCAAATGCATGTTACCCCTGCAGCACGGTGTGATTCCTCCCAATGGCTTACAGTTGTCTAAAATGTCTATATATGCTGAAGCATTCCTGTGTTGATGGGTTTTCATTCGGTTTAAAGTTGAACTCTGGGCACAAAAACTTTCATTTCAATATATTCCTTAATAGTCACAAAGGATATAAATCCACTTTCTGTGCAACAAAATGCCTTTGCAAACCAATTTATTGCCTTGTAAAACTAGCAGCGACATAATCGCTGGGCTGTCATTAGCCTGTGCAGAGAGTAGAGCTGTTAGGGGGACCCGGACAGCCCCATGCAGTACGGGCTCCCTGCAGAAAACTACAGGAGAGGGCAGAGACGAGACTAATCACCTTGTACAAGGAGAGAGAGCGGCATTGACCGGTCTTTATTACAGGAGGGGGCGGAGACAAGACAAGTCACCCTGCACAAGGAGAGTGAGCAGTAGTGACCAGTCTTTATTACAGGAGGGGGCGAAGACAAGACAAGTCACCCTGCACAAGGAGAGAGAGCATCAGTAAGCGGTCTTTATTACAGTAGGGGGCGGAGACAAGACCAGCCACCCTGTACAAGCAGAGAGAGGAGCAGTGACCAGTCTGTATTACAGGAAGCTCCAAGTCTCACACTGAATTACTGCACAGATCTGGAAGAAATACACAAAGCTCACCAAGATTCATAAAGAATACACGACTCTTGTATTAAGATATTTGCTTATCCCGGAGTTTGGCTTTAAGCGAGAATTGCATTTCCATACAAGTCTATGGGAATGCCAAAGGTAAAATGCAGGTCTTAAGGAGGACAACTGAAGGTCAAATGCACCTGTCAATAAATTCTGAATGATCTCAGAAGTGCCTCAAACAGATGCCATCAACACAAGCCCAAAGCCGTTAACATAGACCCTAACAGTACCCTTCACTGGAAACCCCATAATGCAATAATCTGGATGGGTGTCCGCATACTTTTGGCCACACAGTTGGTGTGATGGTCGGGTGTCCACAAAAATGTGGCCATATAGTGTATTACAGTGACCACTCTTAATTTCAGAAACAGGATTTATTTACATATACCAATGCAAAAAAAAAAAAAGCCATGTCCTATATGTTTCTGAATGCAGGGACATATAATAAAGCACAAGAGAATATTTCTAAAACTGAAGGTGGAGTTACACTTCAATACAAACATTACCGGGGTCAGCGGGTTCATCTTTTGTTTCCTCCGCGGCTTCTTCTTTGGTTGTAACATGTAGAAGGTTCAGAATTTGCTGGATGTCCTCTAACTTCATGTATTTCACTGGAGAGTTCTGTAAGCAAAGCCATGGAGATTGGTAGTTATAGGAAGTGAATGTTTACCATCCCAAAAACTTTCCAGCCCGTTCAAAACATTCATTTTAGTTGTCGCTGGATGCCAAAGAATGAAATCCCCTAACGATTTAAAAGGAGAACTATGAGGTGAGTGCTTTTCACTTACCTCATAGTTCTAGCCGACGTGTGACAAGGAGACTGTCACAGGTCGGCTCAGTAGATCGGGAGGTGAGGGAACACATACCGGCGTTCGCTCACTTCTCGATCCTGTCACGGCTCTCTGCAGTGACAGGGGAGGGGCTGAATTCCCACCTCCCCGCTCCAATCTGCCAGCGCTGACTGGCGGAACGGACGGGGGAGGGGGCGGGTACAGCTGGCTCTGCCTCTAGATAGGCAGAGCCAGCTGTCACTCACGCAGCTGGGCGGATCTCGACATCGATGTCGGGATCTGCTCCGGCTGCGGCATCTCAGTATACCGCGAGCTGTAGCTCGCGGTATACTGAGCTTAGGGTGACGGGAGGACGCTAGTTTGTGTCCTCCCGTGACCCTAAGGAGAACTATGGGGAAAAGCCCTGACCCCATAGTTCTCCTTTAACCCAACAGACTCTTTACTTCAGTGGTTCTCAACCTTTCTAGGGCCGGGACCCCTTGGTAACATTTGCCAAGTTGTGGTGACCCCCAACGGTAAAATTTGGGGTTGACGCGGCTGCTGCAGCGACATCTGGCGGCGTGGCGGGAGAACTGACACTGCTACGCTAGGAGAGGGCTGAGGAGGACTCTCACCGAGCACAGCAGAAATCACACAGCGACCCACAGGTTGAGAACCACTGTTGTAACAGCTAAAATGGCAAACCATATAACACAAGCCGAGGGTGTCAGGTTTTATTATTAATAATAATGATGATAATCACTAGATGGGGACCTAATGGAGAACTGCAGGTCCCCCTCTGCTGATTGACAGCAGCAGTGGGCGGGTGCAATAGCTAGTTTGCTATTGCAAAGTGAAATAGCCAATAGGAATCTAGCTATGCATTCCAAGCAGAGAACTTTCCGGGAGAAAGTGTTTCTCTCCCGGGCGGCCGGGAACCGCTATCTAATAGCGGGAGACTCCCGGCGACCCCTGGCAAATTGTCATTCGACCCCCAAAGGGGTCCCGACCCACAGGTTGAGAACCACTGCTTTACGTGAAACGTCACTGTTGTGTAGATGGGCCCTTAAAGTGTATCCAAACCCAAAACCATGAAGCTTGCTGGGCCTTAGATGTATTTGCTAACTTAGTTTTCTTGTTTTCAGGCTAAGAACATTTTCAGCAAGTACAGAAAATACCTGTAGATCTTGCCAGAAATACAAAGTCCTTGTCACTTCCTGTGAGCTGAAAAGACAGCACAAATAATATTATCTCTTTTGCAGGGCCAGCCCTATAATGATGCAGCTTAAGGCTATTGCCTCAGATGGCATCTCGTGATGGGGGGGGAGCGGCAGGCAGGGCGGCATGGCTGCTCTGTTGCACAATGTTTGCTGTGTGCCTGCCTCCCCTTTCCGGCCACAGCATCCCAGGTTGCTAAAAGTGGGGCTGGGAGATGTGTAAGGGCCAGTCACATCTCTCCAACCAGCTCTTAGTAACCCGGGACGTTCTGCCCAGTGTCCTGCCAACCAGATAAACCACCTCCGTCATCGTCAGCACTTTTCCCCATCTCTCTCCATAGGCCTACACTCTTTGCATCGAGGGACTGCAGAAATACCTGAGAGCCATCACAATGTGCCTTCATTCTTACACCCTCTAATGCAGGGGTAGCCAAACATCGCCCCTTCAGTTGATGTGAATCTACAAATCCCATCATGTATCTGCTTCTGGAAGTGCAATGCCTCTGGCTGTTAAGAGTCTTGCAATGCCTAATGGGATTTGTAGTTTAATCACAGTTGGAGGGCCAAAGTTTGACTCCTGCTGCTATCGTGTCTACAGCCCGCTTATGACCTGCCCTGCACCAATGACTGGGGGTGATGTGGGGAGTGAGAAAGATACTTTAGCATCAGGATCTCCCTGCTGCGGTCCCAATTACCAGGACATCAGTTCTGGATGAGCTTACTTGTCTGGAGTGTTGCACACCGCTCACCTCTTCTGCTCTTTTTATGCCCACATTGGTATCGGGAGGGATTTGGATGCCAGACTTCTCCCTGAGGGAAACAAAGAAAATGAAGCTGAAGTTTAATCTACTTATATTTTGCCTTCCTGTTCTCAACATGCAAATTAGATTTTTTAAATAAAACCTTTCTGTTTTCACTACATACCTTATTTTATACTCAGTGATGTCATCGCTGAAGCTCTGTGTTTCCCTATGCCAGGGGTGGGGAACCTCTGGCCCTCCGGCTGTGCTGAAATAACAAATCCCATGAGGTATTGCAAGATTCTCACAGCCACAGGCAGGACTCGCAGAGACAGATGCTTCATGGGATTTGTAGTTTCACCACAGCTGGAGGGCCGGAGGTTCCCCGCCCCTGCTCTATGCAATGCAGCCAGATCATGGTTGGTGGGAGGGGCCGGCCTCAGCTCTCCTCTCAAGAACCCTCAGCCCTAAGAAGTGGGCTAGTTCATGGGAGGAGGTATGCAAATATCAAAAATGTCTTGATGGGTGGATGTCAGTCTTAAACAGTGGGCATCCCTAGGCAGGCTGTATTTGCATGCTGATGCCCACGTGTGATGCTGAGCCTTCACGATTTAATGAACTAAAATCCAATGAATGAAAGGGGCGGTCCAGGGATAGTCAGACTGGGGAGGAAATGACAAGGTGATGCTGGACATTCTCCAGCCAGGAAAAGGAGGCGGGCTCTATCTGACTTGCTGCAGCTTCTAATGCACATTGTGAGGAGCTCGCAGTATACAGTGATATCAGAGGAAGGAATTTCAGTCCAGGAGAGGAGATAGATAAAGTACAGTAAGCGTTGTCACCTAGGACAGGAAGTGTGTTACTGGCAGGATCACCAGGTGAAAACAAAGGAAATGAAAGTTAATGCAGCTGCCACATCTAAGGATTATTAAGCTGCAATAAAATACATTTTGTTTTTGGGTTTAGATAGTGTTGCCGTGCCACTTGTCCCAGTAACATTACCTGAGTAAAATGGCCACGCCAGCTTTCCCCAGAAGTTGCCGTGCCACTTCTTCAGCCGTCTCCAAATCAGCGCCATACGTCTCCTGCTGGCCGACGATGAAGATCGCAGGTAGGCCGAGCTGGAGGTGAACACTGTTGAACTTTTCTGCATCTCCGGAAACTTCTCCCTGAAAATCCACACACATCATTTATTTGTAAGGTTTAAATGTGCTGGCACCAGGCCTTCGTGTAATCCCCCTTCATCCTGAGCTTCACATGATTTGTTTTTGTCAAAAGAAGACTGTCGGTCATTTTGGTGTCACCCCTCCAATGTTGTCACCTGGGTGCGGGCCGCAGCCCCCTTGTGATGCCACTGGGGTGGAGGTCAGTCTGAAGGAGTGAGTGCTTCTGAGCAGGCCGACCACCCCAGGTAACACTCACAAGTGACACTGAGCCTCCTGGAATAAAAAAACCTGTAATCCAATGAAGGAAAGGGGCGGGGCCTAAGCCAGTAAGGCTGAGGAGGAAAGCATTAGATGATGCTGGACATCCTTTAGCCAGGAAATTTGTATTTGGTAAAATACTTGCTCTATATGTTACAGGTATTAATGTTTTCTAAAGAGAGCTGGGCTATGACTTAAATATGGATGCTGTGCTATGCTCAAACCTACCACCAGGGGGAGCCCCATGACTTTCAGGAAGCGGTGGATGTTGAGGGTTGTCAGCGGATGCTCCAACATAGTTCGGTGGCATTTGTGGCTCACACTCGTCTCTGACTTGCAGTGGATGAAGAAAAGCTTTGCGGACACCTGGCTGGGCTCCTCCGTGCTATAATTCAAACCGTACAGAACAGTTAGCACCCTGTGAGATATGTAAACGCAACTGTAAAGTATCAGATGACAGGAAAGGGTTAAAATACCCATCAGGTTTTGTTGGCTGTCAATGTCCTGTTGGGGAGATTTCCCTTCTCTTCTCTCCTTGTCCTGAAAACACAATCAGAAGAGAGTGGAAATCTTCCTACAGTGAAGGGAAAAATCCTCTTAGACCAGGGGTGGGCAACTCCCTCCCTCCAGCTGTGCTTTAACTACAAACCCCATTATACCCCTGCCTCTGGGATTCATGCAGTGCCTCATGGGACTGGTAATTCCACAACAGTTGAAGGACCAGGGTTGACCACCCCGTCTTAGACAACTGTCCCTGGAACAGCTGTCCCCATTAGAAGATTTCCCCTGACATCCTGTTTCGGTGACAATAGAATAAGTTTGGATTTCCTATCATATTCTATCCACAGTTCCCAAGACATAAGACACAAGCAGCAATACAAATCCAAAATAGGTTTTAACACTTTCCTTCTCTATCCAAAACTAAAAAAAAAACAAAAAACATGAATTTCTTGCAAAACTGTACATAAAATTATGATATAATGAGACTCCTGATGAAGTGGCTGGTGCCACGTGGAGCGATCATTTCCATTGGTCATGCTGTACTGGCGTTCATCTGCAGAATTATCTAGGAGAGACACCATCTTTGGGTTATGGAAGTTTCTATAGGTAAATTGGGGCATTTAAAGCTGAACTCCAGAAATGTCCTATTTTTTTTTTTATAGTTACATTGGGCCAGCGGGGTTACATGTAATGATCCATCTGTCACATCCGGAGGGCCACTGGGGATGCTGAAATTCACTGTAGTAGCTTGTGCCACAGTCAGCATTGTTCTGGGTGCTGCTGGGGCGACTTGCCATCGGTATACCGAACACTCAACGAGTACTCAATCCTGTACTTCCACCATTCAAACAACATCTTGTATTCTATTAAATGAATACAGAGCAATATTTGATTGGATGAGGCGGAGAGGAAGAACGGGTAACGTCACGACCACCACCACCTCGTCCAATCAGAGAAAGCCTTATATTCATTATAAAGACGGGGTAACGTCACGACCACCACCACCTCGTCCAATCAGAGAAAGCCTTATATTCATAAAAAAAAGACGTTCGCCGAATGGTACAGATACAGGAGCAAGCAATTCTCTATGTTCACTATACAGATGGCAAGTTGCTCTAGCAGCACAGGAGAGCACTGGCTGTATATATTAGGGCAGCACAGTGGCGTAGTGGTTAGCGCTTCTGCCTTGCAGCACTGAGGGTCCTTGGTTTGAATCCCGGCCAGATCACTATCTGCAAGGAGTTTGCATGTTCTCCCTGTGCTTGCCTGGGTTTCCTCCGGTTTCCTCCCACACGCCAAAGACACGCTGGAAGGTAAATTGGGTCCTCTCTAATGGGCCCTGTGTGTGTGAGATAGGGACCTTAGATTGTAAGCTCCTTGGGGGCAGGGACTGATGTGAATGTGCACTACGTAAATACGCTGCGTAAACTTGTCGGGCTCTGTAGATACCTGAAATAAATAACACAGACAGATGAATTTTAGCATCTCTTCAGATGTGATACATGGATTGTATGTAACTATGCTGGCCCAATGTAAGTATAAAGAATAGATCATTCCTGGTGTTCAGCTTTAGCACACACTTTATGCGGTACTTGTTGCCATATACAGTATGTTAGCACTTTGGCCCACTGTCGTATACGTGTTGCAACTACAGGTGAAACTCGAATAATTAGAATATTGTGCAAAAGTAATGGCAGTAAGTGCTGCAAAAGGGGCCCAAACCAAGTACTGAGTACATATGCATGCTTGTACTTTTCAGAGGTCCGATATTGTTCTATGTACAATCCTTGTTTTATTGATTGCATGTAATATTCTAATTTTCTGAGATTGTGGATTTGGGGTTTTCATGAGCTGTAAGCCATAATCATCACAATGATGACAAATCACGGCTTGAACTATCTTGCTTTGCATGTAATGAGTCTCTCTCATATATTAGTTTCACCTTTTAAGTTGCATTAGTGAAATAAATGAACTTTGCACGATATTCTAATTATTCGAGTTTCACCTGTATATTGTATGCAGCTGTTTGCGCAGGGTGTTTTTATAGCCTATACCTCTGCAATATGTCTAGCACTCCCTATTGTTATATATACAGTGTGATCTGTATTGATCTATATTCATTGAATACAATGGTTACCCGGGCATAGGACTCAATTTGAGTTCCCTTTTAGCTGGTCAATTAAATGTATATTTGACCGATGGATGGGATTATTATTGGAAGGGCTCATTCACATGTGTGCGTTTCAACTCATCCATTGCAACGCATCATAACTCACGTTTCTCAATCTTCAATTAAGTGCTATGGCTCTGTCGACAGGTATATTTTGGATTGCTGAAGGCGCGCCCCATGCATGTTTTTTAGGCTGGTGCAGCACACTGGTTGATATGGTCCATAAATGTCAATGGGAATGCACACCAATGCATCATGATGTGTCAAAAACTAGCCTCTAACACACAATGCAACACAATGAGGGGGATTATCAAAAGCTTAACTGATCAAACTGAATAGAGAAGCTGATTGGTTACTACTGTCCTAGATTGTTCACTTCTCCTGCCTTTCCCAAACTCTTCACCCTTTTGTAAATAACCCTGTTAAAAAAAAAGATCCCATGGAGATGAGCAGAAAAGCATGAAAAACACATTACAAATGTTTGTACATGCATTAGAATTACGGACATACTCATTCTCCCTGGAAAAGGCATGCAAAAAAGGTGTGGTTACAGCAAAGAAAAGTGCCTCAAAAACAGGTGTAAGATGTGCACAAACTTTACACTGGCTCCGTGTGCTGCAGATCATGGACACTGAACCCTTTGAATGATTTAGGATGAAGCAAGCATGCCCTCTGCTGGAGAATGGTGGAACCCATACCCAGGGAAAAGAGCAACTTCAAGCAGAAGGGCAATCATTCGGTGACCTGCTAATACTATCCAGCAGATACTACACCAGTGCTAGAGTCAGGAATGTCACTCAATGTACCTTAGGCTGGGCACACACCTTACAACCATCGCAATGCCGAACAAACAGTGTGCGCCGGCCCGTCCGGCTTTTATCTTACGAACATGCTACATGTTCGTAAGTTAAAAGTCGTGCGACCTTACAGTAGTAGAGGTCGCACGGCTTCGACACACACCTTACGTTAATCGTACGATCGCGGGATTTCCCGCGATTATCGTAAGGTGTGTGGGCACCCTTAGAGATCGACTCCAGCAGACACATTTTTTTTCATTACAAGGGTTACAATTTGTGTCCCCATCAGGCAGATTTTTGTCATGGTTTCAGCACTGCTAGGATAAAATGAACCACCCTATGGAGAGCCTACTGATTTCCAAGCCCAACTCCCTGACCTCTGACCTCTGTCCCTCATTCACCCCCCTCCCCCACCTTCAGGTACCCTGGCAGGATTTTTTGCTCTTTTGTTTTAAACTCACTTTTTCCAGATGTTTTGTGGCCGGTCGTGTGACGGACATTCTCCCACTATTAGGCATCCTCAGTGATGAAGAGAGAGCGGCAATGATGTGATGATATGGGGCCTGAGGTGAGGGTTCATGACTCTCTGCACTCCCAGTATATCCTCATTCTTAAGGTGCCCATACACTGTACGATTCTCGTACGAGAATCGGGGGAAATCCCGCGATTGTACGATAATCGTACAGTGTATGGAAGGCGTGCAACCGTTTCTACTGTACGGTCGCACGTCTTCCGTCGAACAAGCAGGCTTGAAAACCTGTGGCCTGCTTGTTTGACAACTGCCGAACGCACCGGTGCGCACATGCGCACACTGCCTGTTTGCAGTGATCGGAAGCCCGCCCCTCACTGCGGTCATCGGAAGCCCGCCCCTAAGTGGGGCGGGCTTCCGATGATCGCAAGTACGATCTGCCTGTCCAAGATGGGCAGATCGTACGAGCTTTTAATAAGCTTACGACCATCGCAAGACAAAAGTCTTGCGATGGTCGTAAGGTGTATGGGCACCTTTACAGGCTGAATGATGTTGGGTGTCATTCAACCCATTATCTAAGGACATCTAGTGGTGAAAAGCAACTACTGCAGAAGAGAGCACCAGAGAGGAGGCGAGTATTGCAGCTTAAGTTGCCATTCAAAAGCTACCGTTGCAGTGGGCCTCCACTGCACTGCAAGGGTTAAATGCTCGAAGGGGGGTGGCAGGCAAAGCAGCATGGCCGCTCTGCTGCACAATGTTTGCAGTGTGTCTGCTGCCCGCTTTCTGGGTCAGAGCATCCCAGGTTTCTAAAAGTCGGGTGGGGAGATGGGTAAGGGTCATGAACGTCTCTTAGAAACCTGTGACACTCTACTGCCCCAGCCAGTATATTTTTTGCTGTCTGTGTATCATTGGAGAAATTGCCCCAGAGGTGCAAGAAATTAGAGAAAACCTCTCAAAGTGAGTGGAATTCCCATCATAGGCTGTTGTCCATAGGTGTCCCTATTGGAAGATTTCCCTTTACCCCTTCGTTTTTCTATGACAATGGTCAATGGTACAAATAGAGGGGCGAATCTCCCCAACAGGAACACAGCAATAAAAACTTGACAGAGGATCTAACCTTTCCCCACTCTATCCATCATTAGAAAAAAATATGCTGCCTTGAGATACACTTTAATGTTTCGTTCTCCATTGGCTCCAAAACATTTTACCAAATTGGCAAAATTTCAAAGATATTTGCCAAAATTTGGGGTAAATAAATTAAAAACCCCTCAATTTCCTTCATTACTTGCTACAACGTGCGCACCTCATACTCTTCAGTAAACTTGATTCTGTAGTCAGAACAAACTGGTGTGTTGAGCCGTGTATGAAAACTGCTTCCATCACTGACCGGTGTTCTAAAAGGAGAACAGAAAGACAATAACACTAAAACTGAGATCAATCTATACACATGATCCATCCTGTTCTCCTATATATTTGTATCCTTGTGGGAGAATTCTTTGAAAGAGAAATCCCGGAGCGTGTTGAGATTATATAAAATAGGTGTGATGGTCAGGTGTTCACAAACACTTGGTCATATAGTGTATGTATGTATTTTTTATGTATACTGTACCCGGTGTTCCAACTGCCTGGACGTAGACAAAAATAACGTTTTTCTTCCCTTTCATGGCGTCTTCTAAGTTTTGAAGTTCCAATATGGAGGTGACATATTTTACTTTATTATAAAGCAAAACGCTGAAAGATAATGGGTGAGAAAGGTAAAAGAAGAGTGTCAGTGTCATTTAAAAAGAAGAAAATACAGGCAGTTTCCATGTTAACCTTCTTTCCTTGCTATGGGGCAGCAGTTAAGTTTAAGATGAGGATCTTAAACCCAGAAAACTGTGTCCCTCTACCCAGAAAAATTGTGTCCCTAAAGCCAGAAAAATGTGTCCGTGTACCCAGAAAATTGCTCTTCACAACACCATACTGACTGATGACACAGCTTACACATAGGAAATGAATGAAGTCACAGTACTTACAATAAAACGTTGGCAACAATAGCGTTGACATCAAACAGGGTGTCTGTAGGGAATTCCCTCAGTAGTTTTGTCCCCCTGGAGAACAACAGAAAAGTGATCATGATACGCATATTACTCTGTACATACAAACATACATACAGGCTGCACACATAGACTTCTATTGAACCGTGTCCAGAGGCCGGAGATGCTGGGAGATGGTCCCATAGAAGTTTATGGACCTGTAATGCAGAAGCATGGCCGGGTTAATGAAGATTTGCAGTACTGGATGTAAACAAAGATCTGAACCGCGGCCATCGGATCAAGGTAAGTATGCTTCCGTGGAGGGTGTGCTAGGTTCGGTCAGGGGAAGGGAGGATAAAAATGAATGCACTTTGTTTATCTTTTATGACTACTAGGGATGCAACAATATCGGTTTTTCGGTGTCGAGTACGAGTACCGATATTTTTTTTCCGATACTCGCCAATACCGAATACCGGAAGTCCCATTAAAGGAAGCCAGGCAGCTTGTAATGACTCGCCACCTGGCTTCCTGATTAGCCGGGTAGCCGGCTCCATGCTCCCTCCTCACCAAGTGAGGAGGGAGCATGAAGCCGGCTTCCAGCCGGGCAGTGTGTAATGACTCGCTGCCCAGCTTCCTGCTAGGCGTCGGAGCATTTAGGCGAGTACGAGCCCAAATACTGGGCACCAGCACCGATACTAGTAATCGGTATAGTTGCATCCCTAATGACTACACATTTTTTCAGTGAAGCCCCCAGCCTATATGTGATCACTACGCTATAGCTAACACTGCGATCACATGACTAGGAACCACTCTGATTGGTCCTGGATTGTCAGCAGGGCCCTGAGCTGTCAACAATAGCCTGCATTGGAAGTGTCAATTAGTGTTTACCTGAACAAGTAAGCATTTCCTTCTGAACAGAACTTGACGGTGTCATACTTCACACAAATAACCTGAGCGGTAAAAGCGGGAGAGAAAACCAGAGCATTTAAAGTGGAATTGTCACAAACAAAAACAATGAAAATAAAGATATAAACAGTAGTTTGCAACCTGGACATGGCTGCACACTTCCTAAATATATTTAAAGCTGACTTCTGGGCACATATAAAAGACACAACTGAATACAGCTCAGTGTAAGTCCCTGAGCTTGGTATACGCCTCCTGCAATCCCCAGTACAGAAGGGCTTAGACTGGGTGAGAGAGAGAAGCAGCACAAAGAGCCGATCAGATGTCTTTCAGTGCGTATGTGCCAAAAAATGAGTATGCTGATAGACGAATACAGCAGAGTGACAGAAAGATGAGCTCATCAGTCTGCTGCTTCTTCTTTTTTCACTGTCCAGTCACAGGCTGGGGGAAATACAAGGCCCATGTGCTCATGAGAACCCTTGGAAATATTTAATGGTATGAGCATGCTTGTGTTTAAGGAAGCTTGTCATGAAAAGACATGGAGGTTGTAATTAATGAACTCTAACTCCAAAATTGCTACTGGTCTGGCTGCCATGCTGCCAAGGCTTTAAAATTTTAAAGGCATAGTCAACCTTTTGCAAAAAAAATAATAAATGTATACACACTAATACAAGAAATAATGCGCATTTATTTATTTTTTTTGCATTGCAGCCTGCCAAGTATTGCAACCGTGATCAGTGGATGATAGGTGCAATGCTCAGGCTCCTGCAGACTCTTCCTCCCAGTCCCAGGGTGGCACAGACGGCCAGTTAAAGGAAGTGTCAGTGGAGTACAAATATGGTGATGTCACTGCACTTGTACTCCATGGAGAACTATGAGGCCCCCAACCGCAGTGGCCGACAGGACTTGTAGTCTCTCCAGGATCTGTGAACGGATGACGCAACTGTGCACGTGGAGCCATGTACTTTAGTACCCATCCTCAAGGGGTATACTGGCAAGAAGTGTGGTGAGATATCTATTGGAACCATGCACAGCTGCGCCAATTTCAAAAGATGTCTGAATGCTGCGGGGAGAACAACCCTGGGTTTCAGGTAAAGGGGGGCTGTTTGGGGGGTGGCGGGCTGGGTTATGGGACCATTTTATTTTTGGTTCCTGTCTGAAAACTCCATTTCGGTGCACCTCTAATAGTGACTTGTCTCCCGCTTGCCCTTTTTGGACACAGATTCCACACTACAGGTCCTCTTTAACCCTTTTGCTGCCAGAGACGTATGCGTTACGGCGCTGGCAACGGGCCCCTGTGAACACGCTCCCGGCAGCTATAGCCGACTCTCAGCTTTACACTGGAAGTGATTCTGGTGGCTGAACTGCTGCCAGGCGGTATCCAGCGGTTGGTAAACTTATTCGCTCCCCCTTCCCTCCGCTTCCGACACCCTTTGCCTTGCTTACTGGGCTCTGCTGTCCCTCCTGCGGTCCGGGGATGGGTGTCAGCAAGAAGCGGGGAGAGAGACCAGCGAATGTCTGTTCACTAATCTCCTCCCTGCTGATTGAAGCCAGAAGTGAAGCTGACTGCGTTGCTTCGGGTTCCTGAGCTGTCAATCCCCAGCTAGAGAAGCCGGGGAAGAAGCTATTCAAGTGCAATCTGTGCTTCATCGGCTTCTTTGAAGTGGAAAGGTGACATTAGGGGTCTAATCTCACCATAAAGAGGACCTGTCTCCACTGCCTTACTATCCTTTGTGATAGCAATGGAGTTACGCAAAAAAAAAAGTTAAAAGAAACTAAAGATAAAAAAAATAGATGTAAAAATATCCCCCAAAAATGTTTAAAGTCCCCCGCCCCCAGGTACGAAAACGACAAACATATCGCACTGTGCGCCAAAGATTTTGGTTTGATAAAGAGTTGTAAGATGTAAAAATGTGCAACTGCCGCCATTTTATTCTACTGAGTCTGTGCTTTCAGGAAATTGACAACTCTCAGTTAAAGGAGAACTATGAGGCGAGTGATTTTCGGCTCAATAGATCGGGAAGTGAGCGAACACATACCGGCGCTCGCTCACTTCTGGATCTATCCCCGCAGAGAGCTGTCACTCACGGCTCCCTGCACGGATTCCCCCCTCCCCGCTCCGATCCTCCAGCGCTGACTGGCGGAACGGACGGGGGAGGGGGCGGGCACAGCTGGCCCTGCCTCTAGATAGGCAGAGCCAGCTGTCATTCCCGCAGCTGGGCGGATCTCGACAGCAATGTCGGGGATCCGTTCCGGCTGCGGCGTCTCAGTATACCACGCGCTGTAGCTCGCGGTATACTGAGCCTTGGGTCACGGGAGAACGCTAGTTTGTGTTCTCCCGTGACCCTTAGGAGAACTATGGGGAAAAGCCCTGACCCCATAGTTCTCCTTTAATGTGGAGATCCAAAATGTGGCTTCTAATGTGTGCAAAAACGTCTCTGGCAGCGATAGGGTTAAACAACGCCTATTTGTAGCTTCTATAGACGTAAACATTTATTAAAACAGATTTTTATATATTATATATTATTTTCCTCCTTTTGGTGAAACTTAAAACAAAAGTCATAATTGTTGACAGTATTCTGCATGCTTTGTTATAGGAAAGACTTTACCTTGGCCACATAAATCCCGTAGTCCTCCAACACCCCGGCAGATTTTTGTAATTCCTCCAGGAAGATGACATTGTTGGCGAACTCTGAAATAAAACATGCAAATATTTAAAGGAGAACTCCGCTATCTGCAGCTGAACTGAGCGCAGAACACCCCAGCGTGGCTGCTAATATTTGGTGCAAATATTGATCTATGACACTGAAACTCCTCGGGGCAATTTGGGTGCTCAAATTGGGGGTTTTCCTTCAGATTTTAATTAACGTTTTTGTTTTAATTGATTGTGTTTTATACTTGGCATGATCTCTATGGATCCTGTAGTTGTGATTCAAAGTAATCTGAGTTATGCACAGAAGGAATTTTTTTTTCCTGCCATATTTCAATAGAAGACAGGGTGTCAGGAAGCCAAAACTAGCCTGTGTGGATGAAGTACAGTCCCTGACTATGCTCCTGTCTGCTGTCCTGCACTGCATTGTACTGCCCGCAAGTTACTGACCCGGCCTGTCCCTGACTATGCTTCTGTCTGCTGTCCTGTACTGCTCTGCCTGCATGTTATTGACCTTGCCTGTTCCTTACTATGCTCCTGCTGTTCTGTAGTGGGCAGCCTACAAGTTATCAACCTGGCCTGTCCTTGGCTACTCTCCTGCCTGCTCTTTACTGCCCGCAAGTTACCAACCCGGCCAGTCCCTCACTACGCTCCTGTCTGCTGTACTGTACTGTGCTGCCTGCATGTTATTGACCTGGCCTGTTCCTTACTATGCTCCTGCCTGCTATTCCTGCACCTTGCTGCCGATTCTTGCTGACTCGGCTTGACTTGGACTTCACTATCAAAGATCTGCGTTCTTCATCTGCTTCCTGCCTGGGAGACGACTGCACTACTGATCCCAGCACAGTACTGATCCCGGGTGACTATGCTATCTTCCGGCCCCCGTGCCATTCCTCGTCCTTGGGCACCTGCTCCACTCTCCTGGGGTCCGTGCACTGGAGCAGCAAGAGAGACTGCCCTCATCATCTCAGGCTCCCCATAAGGTTTTTGACACAGGACCCACCACTGTCTGATGGAAAGAAAAGGGAAACTGTACTAGAGTATGCTGGTACTTGAAGTACCTCAGCAGTCTAAAGCATCGTCTGCACTGTTCATTTTCTTACCAGTGTTGCTAAAATACAAAAGTGAATTCTTTCTGGGCGCCAGGCTGTCGGCGTAGGAGTCCGGCCTTAATTCAGGTAACGTGGCCTTTGCTGCAGTCAGAAAAACTCTATTCGCTAATAGGAGCAGCAAGGACATTCCAGGAAGGCCGGTCATCTTGATGGACGGTCTGAACCTGCCAAATAATATAGAAATAATAGTTATAAAAAATATTCTAATAATAAAAATAAAGTCCTAAATTATACTATTTTAATATTCAAGTAGTGTAAGTAGATAAATCTGACCTAGCGTCTGTCCCTGTACAGCAGAGCTGGAGTATGAGAGGAAAAAGCAGCACAAGGAGCCAATCAGTTCATTAACTGACAAGAAGCATGCAAATAGGAGGCGAGAGCGAGAGCAGAGTGACAGAGAGATGTGCTTATCGCTGTGCTGCTTCTCCTTTCACTGTGCAGTCACAGGCTGGGGGCAGGTCCAGGATGACCTGTGCTCAAAGGAAGTGCGTTGAATGCATCCTTCCTTCACTTACCCCATCCCCGTCTGTTACCCTCTATATCAGTCTCTTCACTGGTGTCCCATCAAACTGAAAATAACATTTATGTTGCTATACAGCCGGGGTGAGCAAACTCCAGCCCTCCAGCTGTGGTGAAACTACAAATCCCATGATGCATTTGCCTCTGGAGTCATGCCTGTGGCTGTGAGAATCTTGCAATGCCTCCTGGGATTTGTAGTTCCACAACAGCTGGGCAGCCAGAGTTTGCCTCCCCCTGATATAAGGTTTAATGCACTCTATACATTTCACATCTCTACATTTCTGATCCCAAGTACAAATATCCTCAAATTCATTCTTTTCCCTCCTCCAATGACCTACTAATGTCCTGCTGACTCATAATATCCTCCCACGCATAGCCCCATGTCTCTCCGCCCATGGAACTCTCTTCCTCACCCATTTAGACTTCACATTTAAAGTGATATTAAAGTCTTAAGGTTTTTAAGCTATTTCAGATGCTGATGAAATCACTTACAGTGGATGCAGCTCTTTGATGTTTAAACGTTTTAGTTTCCTGCAGAATCAGCGGGTTCCCTGAGCACTGGTCCTGATATCCTGTTTTAGGGTGACTCCTTTCCCTTGCAAGGTCCAATGGAGCCACCCTTGTGTGTGCCAGTAAGCTGTGCGTGTCTCCACAAACACACAAACACAGCAAGGCAATCTACTCGCCTCCTCCCCGCTTCTCCTCGCTCCTCCAAGCTAGTAGATGGACGCCTTCTGCAGACTGCTCTGTCCCTTGTGATCTTGTTCTGGATAGGAAGTTCATGGAAGCTGAGCTGAGAGAGTTGGAGCTGTCTGGAAACATGATGACGGTAAGCACTTGAGGGAAATTGTAGAAACACTTTGCTGGTCAATGTAAATGTTCTCTGTGCAAGTTAACCAACTTAAAGGATACTTAAAGACTAACTCCGGGCAGAATAAAACTTCAAAGCCCATTCACACTGGTTGCGGATCAGCACGGCTACCGCGCTGATCTCGCAAGGGAGGTTCTGGGAGTTTTTAATTGCGTTTCAGCGCTGAAACGCAATTAAAAACTCCCAAAACCGAACTGATCAGCGCGGTTCCATTGAAACCTGTATGGAAACCGCACTGATCAGCGCGGCAAAAATAGTGCAGGTAGCAGTTCGGGCGGGGGGAGGGGGGGGCGGTTCGGATCGTACGGACCTGACAAGTCGCATGAACAGTCCCCATAGCAATGTATGAGATCGTTCATGACGGCGGATCCGTGTGAACGGGGTCTCAACAACTATGAGGTGAGTGAAAATCACTCCTCCTCATAGTTCGTGCCGACGTGTGACAATGAAACTGGCACAGGTTGGCTCATTAGAACGCATACCGTCCCCCGCTCACTTCTCGATCATCTCCCTGCAGACTGTCACTCACAGCTCCCTGCAGGGATTCCCCCCTCCCCGCTCTGATCCTCCAGCGCTGACTGGCGGAACGGACAGGGGAGGGGGCTGGCACAGCTGGCTCTGCCTCTAGATAGGCAGAGCCAGCTGTCACTCACGCAGCTGGGTGGATCTCGACAGTAATGTCTGGATCCGTCCCGTCTGCGACGGTCTCAGTAAACCGCTAGCTGTAGCTCGTGATATACTGAGCTTTGGGTCACGGGAGAACGCTAGTATATGTCCTCCCGTGACCAGTAGTAGAACTATGGGGAAAAACACTGACCCCATAGTTCTTTTTTAATGAATTAAGCAATTTACTTCTGGCTTTATATCTGACCTCCGGCCTTCCCTCCAGTCTTGCACAGTTGTACCGGCTCCTCTCCTGGACTGAAATCACTTACTCTTATCTCATTGGACACTCAGCTTCTCACAGTCCGCGGTAGATCCCTTTTCAGGCTGACAACGGCTTCCGTGTATTCAGTTGGTAATAATACCGACCCCAGAATGCTCAGTTCTTTTTAAAAATTCAATGGAACCACCACACCGCCATCATTTGGAACACGCATGATTGTGGCTCGGTCCCATTCACCTCAATGGTTGCATTGAGCAGGGGCGCCACCTACCCAAAGTAACACGCTGTCCAATTTGTGCAGCGCTGTCCGGCTGCAGGGATAACGGGGAGCTGT